CATCGCTATAGTATTATAAATAAACCGAGATAGAATGTATTTTTAAATATACTACGTTTGCGGTCGTGTTTTTTAAAATTGTCTATATTTATAGGTACGTATATGTCGTATACCCAATCGTAATTCCAATCCCCCTCCCCCCCGGTAATTTATTTCTGATTACGCGACTGCAGGTATCCGTTCGATTCACTGAACAACGCTTATTATTAAATGAACACAAATAGTATGAGTATAATTTGTGTAGTTATTGTCAAATGTTAAACGGTACGATAGTGTAGTGTCCAGACACGCAATATACCGTTCGTGTCACTGTTTTCCACGACCGAACCATCTCACCGCAGTAAAATTGGATACCGGTAAAGATCGTTACACATTCAATAGGTATACTCAAAATGCACGACTACAGTTATTTTTCTCGGTTAAACGTTTCAATAAAATAATAAATTCAGTTTAACGCGTCTCCCCGTTTTCGTGTTTATCCCTTCCTCAGTAAATCGTTGTAATCTGCGCAGCAATTTATCTTTTAAAAACGACGGTATACTTCCTCGACTGTGACAACCAAATTGAATTATAATGACTTAATTATAATATATTATTTTTTTTTTTTTAATAATTTTCGTCCGTGTCACCAAGGTAACGGCTATAAATCAATAAAAAATATTCATTTTTTATTCAAAAATAACCAAGAAAATTCTGTACCAGACGCCCATTAGGGGGTGGGTTGGATGGTTAATTTTGAGATAAATAGTATACACCGATCTTCATCAATTGTTTTTTTTTTTCCGAAAATCTAAATATACATTAAAAGTAATAATAATTTCTCACGATTATCCACAAATATCTACCACTTTTATGCAAACACGTGTTGGTGATGAGAGTTACATATCAAATAAATGTTACAAAATACATACGGAATTAACGAAATGTCATCGGGAACGGACAATAAAACTGCAGTCGATTTGTATTGCGGACAGACAAACAGACAAACGGAATTTTAATTTTATACATACAATATAATGTGTACGTAATATAATATAGTGATGCAATAAAAACGCATTATATCGAGACGACCGCTGCGTATATAAAAGTGCGTCCAGTCTATAATAATAATAACAATAACAGTAGTATGACCGAAGCGGCGGTGTTTTTTTTCTATATCGGTCCAAAGAAATAAAATTTCGGATCGGTCATCGGGGGGGGGNGGGGGGGGGGGGGGGGGGGGGTCGATATCGGCCCGGCTCCAATGTTTCTCAATCCGGATTTGATATTGTATTGTTATTATTGTAATACAACCTTCCGCCCGGCGTTTCTGCGCGGGACTTTTTGCCGTCCGAATACGGTTTTATAGTTTATTACAATATTATATGGCCGGCCGTGTCGGCTAAAACGGCGGCGACGTCGGAAAAGGGGAATAATAATTTTACGATTCTAATGAGCCCGGACGCGGCGGAAACGGCTGCGGCGGCGGTACGTTTCGGTGTGTGTTTATAAATTGTGTTATTAATGTTATCGATGGGTGTGACGGCCGCGCGAGCGAGCAATCTACGTGGCCGCCGAGTCGATTATTATTTTACACTGGCGGTTGCGGGGTGGCGGCATATCTGGTTTTTATATGTATATAAAAAAAAAAAACGTTTTTTTCCCTCTCCCAACGCGGTACCTCCGCGCAGTTTTTTTCTTTTACAATGTTTCGTATATTTATTATACGCCTGTAGCATATTATAAAAATGACGGTGACGCGGCAAACGGGGGGGGGGAGGGGGACTAAGCGACACAATTCGTACAGTTTTCCGGAGAGTCGAAAAAAATCACAAATAAATGTTGATTTTAACATATTTTTTTTTAATTCAGGTTGGCAATAACTTTTTCCGGTTGGAATAGAGAATTTTTTTCGTCGAATACCCACGATAGAAGATTTTGATTCCGAGCGTAGCTATTGGTTTTACAATGCTGTTTATTCCTTTTTTTCTTTGTTTTTTTTTTTTTTTTTCCAGTCTTTCGACACGTTTTTTCGTAGTAAACTTACTCGATTTTTACGTGTATATTGTACTTTAAAGTTGTCATTTTTTGATTTTTGACGCCATTTTTTGAGAAAAAACAGGAAAACCTTCAATTTCACGATTTCATTATTTTATAAATACACGGACGACCATTTTCTACCAGAAAAAAATGAAAAATCACAACGTACCTTTTATGTATGTTACCTTTTTGATTTACTTTCTTACGGTATCATCGCCAAAATTTTTGAGCCACTTTTAAGCTTTTAAGGAATTTTAATTTTTGGGAAATTTTTTGCTGTAATTCGGTTATAATCCTCGTAGAGACTTGAGATGTGGTAATAATACTTATATTAAACTTACTTAGACGTGGTAAAATTTCCATAAGCGTTTTGAAATCAAATTTAAACGAAAATCGCAAAAACAAAATTACGGAACTTTAAATTATGTATTACCCCACTACGCTCGAAATCGTCTTTCGTCAAGCAATGGTTTATCGTTGCTTACAGATATAAATGTAATAATCTTATGTATTCTACCTTCCCAACTTCTCACCTACAACAGTGGCCGTTTCCATCCCCAGTATCAGCTCTTTTTTTTTTTCGTACTTCCTTAACATGAATACCCATTATCATTGTTGATAAGCTTTTATTGTCGTTTAGACCTTATATAATAATTGAGAAGATAAAATAAAACAGTATCATTTACATTTCAAACTTAAAATGGAAATTGTTCATTAAATAATGGCCACAGCTGTTTTTGCGCACACGCAATGAACGAAACACGCGTATTTCTCCATCCACTAGTAAAGCCGTGTCGCTTAGACCTTTTTGCCGTATCACCATCGATATTATAATACATCATTCTATAATTATAGTATGAATAATATATTTCAACACAATCCGTGTCTCTAGGTCTGACCGAGGTTTTCTCGATTTTTCGGGGCAAGAAGGAGTCCTTAACAATTCCAGGAACAATTATACCATTAAGTCACATTAATTACTATACTATTAAAGTACAGGCTAAACGCCCAAAAACGCAATAATGGTATATAACTATCCGCCGTTACTAAAACTAAAACTTTACTTGAACTAAATTTACAATACTATATCATTTATTTTCAGAAAAGATGCTATATACTTGATTATCGGATTATGCTTTCTGGTAGAAAAAGTGTTTATATAAAAAAATAATAATAATATACATCACTGTAAAACCAATACATTCCTCGTTCCATTCAGAATCTAAAATCCCTAAAACACAAATTTTAGGAAATGGTATTCAATTGGCGGTGCACTTCAATAGTTATAAATTTTCTTCGGACAACGTTGAACAGGTTCCCAAAGTGTCATGGCGATCGGATGAATGGTGTAGTAATGCATAAAGCACAAATAAACATACATTCGTTTTTATAGATATAGAATATAATAAATTTTTTTTTTTTGTTTTAGATTGTGAGCGAAGTGGTTTCACTAGGTTTATTTTTCCATAAACAAGTTTTTCCCGAAAAGTTAATGGGTAAGTTATTATTGACGGAAATATGTAAAACAGTTTTATTTTTCGAAGCATTTTAATGTAGAATTTTGACGAAAATCGTTATAAATACGACGTTTCGAAATCGGCATAACCGACGTTCGTTTAGAATTTATTATTATTATTATTTTTTTTTTTATAAGAAAAATTTACGAGACGATATAGTATATTTTTGTAAAATAATAATAATAATAATAATATAGGTATGCACGTAATATATGGAAAATTGGATTTTTTTTTTTTTTGTTCGTCGGATGGCGTTACGTTTAAGACGATTCGAGTTTTTCGACCGAATGCCCGCGACTGTTGCCGTTGTATACGTGGACGACGACTCAATAATAACACTCGTTAGGCCACCCAGTTAGCGTCACGATAGCCTCCTCCTCCCCCCTCCCCCGTATACACGCGCACACCGCGTATCTGTGTAATACTATTCAGAAACGTCGTGCGTGAGTGTGCGTGAAGTAATAATTATTATTAACACCGCCGTGTGCGTTTGTGCCGGTCGGACGGCGGGTGGCAGAGTAGAGGAGACGAGAATACTCGCGGCGGGATCGACGCGACGGCGCGAAGACCGAGCATCGCGGCGATAATATTATAATATCGTGTGTGTATGTGTGTGTACGGGCGAGCGCGCGCGTTCGATTCTATATAATATTACGCGGGACGGCTGGCGACGTACGCGGAGAACTTGCTGGCCGGGCGGGGAGGTATAGCCGTATCACGCTAATAAATTACGTCCGAGATAAATCGACCCGGGTATCATGTGATGGTTAACGCGGCGGCGGCGGCCGTGTGCGAACGATAGCACACACAATAATATAATAAAGAAAACATAATTTAGTGTCTAAAAGAGGAGAGGGCCGTGTCGGTGTGTACGGTGTGTCGTCGAGGAGCCGACAAAGAAGGCGTAATTAAAGGGTTACGGCGGCGGCCGAGTGTTTTGTGTCCGAGAGTGCGCGGTTTCGTGACGGGTGTTGTGAATGCTGCTGCGGCGGCGGTGGGACCGCGGTCGGCCGGTGGGCGGACGGTCCGTCGCCGATTGGTCGGCCGATCAGTCGCCGCCCGGTACACGCCCTACCGCCTCGGCCCTCGCGCGGAGACGCCGGCCCCCTCGTCCCGCTAGTCCGCACCGATGAACGCGGCCGCCGCAGTAGACGTGCCGACGAATTAATACCCAGTGGACTCGCCGGCCGTACGCACCCGTCGCGTTTTACCACACTCGTCGTCGTCGTCGCCGTCGTCGTAGTCCGCCGCGATTTCGTCTTTGTGTTGCGCGTGTGTTTTTTTTTTTCAATTTATTTTTAATTTTCCCGCTCGATTATTACTTATAATTTTGTGCGCGTTTCGTTTCGAGTTCTCCTACGGCCCCGAACGTCGTTGACGCGCGCGTTACGATAATATAATATTTTATACGTCCGCCGGACATGTGCCGCCGTTGTTAATTTCGCGGTCCCGGATCCCTATAGTATGAAATCCATAGCGTTGCGCGCCACCAACAAGAGTTACTACCATCACGGCGGTTACCCGACCGACTTGAGCGGTTACGCGGCTGCCAGGTGCCGTTCGCCCCGGAGCCCGGCCGCCGTTGCCGACGACATGGACGACATAAGCGTCGGCAGGCCGTCGCCGCCAGCCTCGCCCGAGTGTTACGCCCGGCTCCACGACCGCCACCACGACGACGACGGTGACGGTCCCAACTTGTCGACCGTCGCCGGCACCAACGAGGATTGTTCCGACTCGTCGCGGTCCTCGGGCGCCGACGATGGGGGTTCCGACTATTTCGAACCGCTAAAGAAGCTCGGTACCGTCCGGATCGATAAGGTGAGCTACGGCATTAGCGATCGCAAGAACTATAATGTGCCCAAGCGTCGACATCCGCCGCCGCAGCAATCGCACAGGCTGCAGCAGACGCAACTCGACGGATCGATGGCGGCGGGTTGCATCGACATGATGCAGATGATGACCGCGACGGCGGCTTACGGTTGTCGGGGTGCCATAGCTGCGGCCGCGGCCTCGTCCGACGACTCGTCGCAGCCCCCCGTAGCCGGGGTCAAGTCGTTCAGCATCGCCGACATACTGAGTCACGAACCGTCGTCGACGGGCGCGGGCAAACAGCAACCGGCGACCGAGGACACGGCCAAGATTGTCAGACCCTGGGCCGAGGAATACCAGCCACCGTGTAGCTCGTTCGTGCCACCGCCACCGCCCGCACACCGACAGCCCGTCGTCGGTCCCCTGTTCCCGCACTCTCTGTTCATACAACACCTGCAGCACCAGCAACACCAACACCACCATCATCATCACCATAACAACAACAACAATAATCACCATCACCAGCACCGGCCGAAATCGGCCGATTACGAGACGTCCACGTGCACCAGCGGCCGGTCAAGTACGGACGGCAGCGAGTGCTGCACCAGTCCCGAAATAGCGAGCTGTACCCAATCGAACCCGTCGTCGTCGTCCGCGGCCGCGGCCAGGAAGCAGCAGGCGGCTGGTAAGAACGACAACTCGTCGCCGTTGGACGCTCTGTTCCAGATGACCAGCAAAACATTCGATCAACTACACGGCGACCCCTCCGGAGCCGGTCAGTGTAAATTTGGTTTATTATTATCATTATATTTTTTTATTATTTTTTTTTTTTTTGCAATACTATTATATTTTATTAGTCTTTCGCCATAAATTATTAAAGGGTCCGGATTCGAATGATCCGTCTAAATACGATCGAATAGTCCTCTACAAACCGCCTTTCAATTATTATAATGTGCTATCGTATCGATTCAACAATTTAAAAACGCCGAACGTGTCTTCCCGCGCCCCTTGATGGAAATTAGCGGCTATCGCAATGTGTACATAAATTTATTGAACGGGTTTATATGTGCTCTTAAAATACACAAAAAAAATCGCTTAAATACGTCAAAATATATGAAAAATATTTAAAAAGCAAAAATGGTATTGTGGTTTAAAAGTTCCCCCCTCTAATATTTATAAAAGTCAAAAGAGCCAATAATATCACGAATACCCGACTTCCTAAAAAATAATATTTGTCTTCAATATTGTTCACGGGCGAAGCAACGGGTAAAATCGGAAAAAAAAATGAAATTCCTTTATATAATATAATTACCGAAGTAATAAACTATAAACCGACAAAAGTAATTCTATTCTCGTTCAAAAAATACCAAAAACACCGTGTCATCGATTCTTAAGGAATTAAATTGTTTTATTTGGTTTTTTTTTAAAGTAGCCCAAGTCCTTCCCCGGGGTTCGAGTTATCTGCATATCGAATATTAACAACATAATAGGTTTGGCCGTTTAGCCGAGAAAACGGAACAAACAGCGAGTTATTATTTTCTACCATTTATAATATTATTAAGGATTTATAAACCGTCGTGGAATCTCGAAAGTTAGTTAAAAATTGAATGATATACTGATATAAATTATTATATCTCTGACTCGGGCGTGCGAAGACTTGAATTTCAGGGAATGCCTACAGTGTTTTCGGGTCTTTTTCTTATAATTCGGACCCTTTCTTAACAATAAGTCAATAATAACTCGGATAAAATTTTATGTTCCCGACGTATATTACTTTAATTTTGTTATATTAACAATCAAGATTATTACAAATTAGTTATCATAATGGCGTACGCCTTTTACTGGAATTCATTAAACTCGTTAATAACTGATTTTCTAAATTCGCATTCGTAATTGCTATAGTTCAGTAAATAGAAAAATTAATTACTCGGGTACTTTGATTGCAGTTTATTTTTGTCAATATTTTATTTTTAAAAGGCCCGTTTACACAAACAGCTACTTACAGGTAAAATGTTAAATACCAGCAGTACAATTAAAAACAATGCCTATACTGCGGTCTATTAACCAATTTAACCACGAAAATCACAGATTTATCAGAGATTTCTTTAGAAATAATTTTGGTTTCAATTTATATTTTTAACAAATTATAACGCAAAACATGATTTTTTACCGCGTAATTTAAAAAAAAAAATTTTACTTGGTGACATAATCAGATAAAATACGGACCCCGAGTCTGAGACTTTAACTATAAGGTAAAAAAAGTTAAAAAATGTCAAGAGATTCCCAGGCGCACGCCGCAGCTTCCGATGATGCACACACCTATATGTTCTTGGACTAAAAAGAAATATATTAATATTTCATTAAATCGGTCGACGTATATAAAAAGATATGGGGATCACATAATTATACTTAAATATACCACGCGACCGTTGCCAAAACCGAATGGGTGGTGAATTCTCTCGTCTCCCTTTTTCTCGCGCCAAATGATTTCACGTGATAATATATTATATATTATATTAATTAATATAATATACTTTTACAATTTTTTTTTTGAATTTAAAATCTAATTAAACGGATAAACATCGACGCTGTTACCAAAACGAATAATATTATATTAATATATACGTATTATGTATATATATATATTTCACCGTCTTTGAAAATACCCAAGTATACAATGTATCAAATTATTGGCCGGTGTTTAGAATTCGTTATTTCCCGTGAACACACAAAAAATCGAGCATGGAAATAGATAGTCGAAGAGGGAATGAAAGTCGAAATTCTTAAAAGGGCTTATCCTTCAAACTTACACTGTGCATATATTATACTTGGATCCTTCTCCTATCGTAATAACGCGGTTCACTTCAATCCGCCCATTAAACAACTCTGATCTTGAACACATTTTGTTTAAAGGAAAACGCTAAAATGGTTCAATAATCTCAATTTTTGGAGAAATTCGGCAAAATATGATTACTTATATACAGTCTAATAACGCGAGAAACATTCGGAATAATTCATATTTATTATTTTATCTTTAAATCCACAATATGCTTAAACAAATAACAACAGACAACAATATAACATCTAAAATAGCAAAAATGAATTTTTAAAAGTCCTCTCTTCAACGGCTTTAACTTATATAAAATAAAATAATATTTATAATAACACAAATGATTTAAACGAAGAAATTGTATTATAAAAAAAAAACACTGACATACTCCGCACGGGGGTGCAGTCACTGTTGTAGATGGGAAGTTGTGAAGACAGGATACAGACGGGAATTTAATATAATAATCTATAAGCAACAATTGCTTACGAAAAAACGATTCCGAACGGAGTTAAATTGATAGCGTTGCTTTGTTAACAATATATATGACACATATACATATATAAGTCATATTATGGCTAAATGATTACGAAAATGTGCGTTTCTATAACAAAAATGATTGTTTAAAAAAGATTTAAAATAATAAAAACTTAATAATAACAATAAATACATAAAAACGGTTGCCAATGACAAACTTATTGTTTATCTTTCCATGTTTTTTAACATAAATAACCAGATTTTTCTCATTATCTCGAATATTAATGAGAATTTCAAAAAGTTACCTCTCTATAGAGTACCGCCCGGAGAACATTTGCTTTCAGAAAAGGTGCTATACCTAATAATCGAAGTAAGCTTTCTGGTATAAAAAGTGTTCACATAAAAAGAAAATATTAATAAATAAAAAATCATTGTAAAACAAATAGATTCCTCGCTCTGTTCAGAATCTAAAATTACCATTTGTGTAGTGTTCGAGAATTTTATTTTATTAGTTAGAGCCGTTAGAGGAGAGATTTTTAAACCCGTCTACCATTTTTGTATTTTTATATTTTTTAAGTGCTTTTTTCATGGCTTTTTTGTTACGCTCTGAAGCGATTTTTTGGCGGATTTTAAGCACACGCATATCCGTCTCCTATTGATAATGTATATATTATCATCATGATAACGTGCAATCAGATAATATAATTATTTTTGGTCATTTGGGTACTTATGTATATTAATATTATATGTGCCGCACGAAATTATTATTATTTTTTAATTTAATAAAACAACTTCGAATTAATAATACAAATCGTCCGAAGCGAAAATCAACGACGGGCTTCTAAAAGCCAATATGGACTAGGTGCACGGTCGTGCGGGTATTCGGAAGGAGTCCACGAGAGGTGGCGCGGTCGTCTTGACTTCGGTCGAGAATAATTATTGTACAGTCGGGTACCTATATGCCCACCTACCGTATAACTGTAACATCATTAAGAGATTATTATCGTTTTATAATCTATAAACGAATGTAAAATAATATTGTCTACGGTTAATTATTGTGCCTATAACCGTATTACCTATAGGTACTCAGATGTACATGCTTTCGGCGTTATCGTGTATACAGAAACGATTCTGATTATAATATTGTAATAATGTTCGAAAACGTTTTGCTATCGCCCGCGAATAATGTATATTAATAACAAGATTTATACAATGATGTGCGTTGTACCTGCTGCGTTGTTGTGCTGATAAAAAAAAAAAAAAAGTAATAATAATAATAACGAGTGATATTTACAACTGTGGCACTCGAATTTGGCGAGGGGGGAGGCGAACTGAAAATTATAGCGTTTTCCAACTGACTGCGCTCGTGTACACTTTTTGCCGACGATCACCTGCCATCACCAGTGCAATAGATATAACGCGAATTCCCTATGTTTACGCGAGTGTAAAAATTGACACCGTCGATTTTGACGGTGTGGGTTATATTCGGTAAGTGTTTCGTATGCGATCCGTACTTTATTGCGATAACCGTTATCAAATTTAGGTATCGATATATTACGATAATATTATTATGTTAATATTATTACGATCCACTTCATATTATAATGCCGCGGGTACATACTATTGTGTGGTGCGATATCACCGACCGCGTGTTGTGTACACGAGTGTAGTCGGATGGAAAATGCTATTGTACTGCAGTTTATATAGAAACGGATATATTATTATGATATTAACATGCCGCTTCGTATAGACAGCGGATACAAATTTCGAATTCAAAAACGCCCTGAACCAGTGGTGTATCCAAGGTTCATTAATAGAGGGTCCGAAAAAAAAAAAATCAAACATTATCTCAAAACTAATGCACGTTTATTTCTTTTATCAAATTTAAAAAATATATTTTATATATACTTACTTATATAGTTACATGATGAATAAAATATAAAAAGAAACCGCATCCACTATAATAAATTATAGCGTGCATATTATGAAACAAATATAACACAAATTAAAAAAAAAAAAAAAATACTACTGCTGATTGAGGAGGCCATGTTCTTCGTGCCCCTCTGCAGATAAAATAATTCCCTATACTACTCTAGGCGTGGATAATTAATCAAACAATCGCGATAATTATTTAAAATATTACAAAACTAACAACATTGTATTAATTTTTTGTCAATATTTTTACTCACGAAGTTGCAAAAACAAAAAAAACAAAATCAAAGTTATAATCTACCTCTTGAAATATTCCGCACATTACAATATCTCAATATCCTATTATCAATTATCGGTTTATAAAATACAAAAATTCGTTACAAAATTGATTAGTGTTATAACACTTAGTAATAATAATAGTTTTATTTATAATTATAAACGTATTTTATGATAACATTATTCTTTTCACGCAAAAATTATAAATGTATTACAAGCACTGAAGCACATGATATTATTATCACAAAAAATGAACATCGATTTGACACATATAGTGTTGTTGTTTTTTTTTTATCGGTTTATCATCCAAATGATAGGCTAAAACGAGGTTAGGTTATCACGTCGGGTAGGTCGTGGGGAAATGTAAATACTTTATTATTTTGTACTTTAATAATGTATTTGAACGGCTAAAAAATAATATAAAACAATCATGTCGAGAAAAAAATGCCGCAAATTGTATTTCAATAATAAATTTAATGAAACACTGATAAACTATTCGATTTTAATCTGCATTTCGTCGCGAATCCAAATTCTCGACTGCATATGTATAGTATCGAATGATATCGTTTTAGGCAATTAAATAAATCTCGGATAACGAATTCGATTCCTCCACTCCGATTCGCGCACTGTGTACGTGGAACACAGTACATAGTATATATTATTTATTCCGTGGTGTAGATATAAATCTCTATCTATCTATATATATATGTATATGTATAGATATACGTTTATCTTAAAGGGGGTGGGCTGCGGACGGGTGGTAAAAAATGTCAGACTATAAGGTTAAGTATACGTGTAATATAGTGTATCGAGTCTGTACTATAGATCATAACCTGTACCCGGGTACAGTGGAACACACCTACGGCGATACACCGGGTGTACGTGCATCGCATATAAATATTGTTTAGGTGAGAAATAAAACCGCCCTTTTGACGTTCCGCGGCCGCCCTCCGTGGCAGACCACCCTGTATATTGTATCGCGTATAATAATAATACACCCCCGGCAGTTTTTCCGTCCACACGTATACACTGCGCGCACAACGCACTTAATATTTTATTAATAAGTACTTCGCGTACGAATAAAAGACGAGCCACTATAGGTATATAATAGTGGTTATGGGTGTCTGGCCGGTTTTTCGAATTTATTTTCCAATCGTGCAAACCGCCTTAAAAACAAGATTTTTCCACTAATCTGCACTACCCGATAAGGAAAAGGGTACGGCCGTTTTTATGGACGAAAATGGCATTTCGTAAACCGCTCAGATTAACAATTGTTTAATATTTTGATTATATTATTATGAATTGAAAGAACAAAATCTTCTACAGACGATAGCACATTGGATTCCGGATTTCGATTAGAAAAAAAAAAAACGAAAACGTTTTTCAGACAAATATTATTATTGCAATACGGCTTCTAGGAATTTGAGTTTTTGGAAACCGATGCGTTCAATACATGTGATCAACAAAAAAATCAAATAATATTAAAAATAATCGAAATTGTACAAACGTATTCTAGCAAATGTTTTTTTTTTTTATAAACTATATATACGCTACGGGAAGCTCGGTCAGCCTCAATACGTGATTATTACGCGTGCGCGCACACATTCGGTGTCGGTGCGTCTCGGTGTCGGTGTCGGTGCAGCGGTTCGTGCGCACCGTGCAGTAAATACGACAATAAATAACGCGATTAAAACCCCGCGCAAACCCCACGCGTATAATTAAAACGTTATTATTTGTGTGTATATACGACGCATATTAATAACTGAACGGAATAATAATAATAAAAAAATAATAATAATAATAATAATGCCGCGGCACTATAATACACATAATAGTCTGCAATAGTAATACAAGAAAAATTTAATTACGTTACGGCGGCCGCGCGTGAGGTGGACACAGAGCAGATGTTCCGGGCCGCGGCGTTTTTTCGCTATAACATAATATTGTATTTATATAGGTACACCTATTCGGTGTCGTTCGGTCCTGCTCGTCGTAATCTAATAATTTATGTATGGTCTTGTGATTCGAATTTTTTATTCGTATGCCCCTTTTTTTTAATTTTTCTATCGCCACCCTCGAGGGGTTTTTTACCCCCCAAGGTACCGTTATTAATGATGTTCCGATGACTGAATAATTTACAATACACACGTCAAACGCTACTGAAGTCGCTTGATGACTACCGTGTAAAATATTATAATCGACCGGTTTTTTTTTTGCTAATATCGAAACATACGAGTACATATTGTTGCAGTTTACATCGTATACCGCACTCGGACTTTGTGTATAGATTACAAAACGGCGTTATGTATAAGAGGACGCTGTCGGTTTACGATACGTGTTTTTGTTTCGTATAAGAGTAAGTTAATTATTTCCGGGGCAAGCCGATGTCGAGAACAAATATTTAAAAAAAAAAAATTAATTGAAAACTGTACGCACTTTTAAGGTTTTTGTATATTTCCCAGTGATGTCTGTAAAACCAAATCTATATTATATGTGTGTATAAGAAACGAACGGCACGAGAACAAGCATTAATTAGCTTTTAATATACATATATATATAATTAGGGTTGTGCAAAAAACACTAGCTCAGGATGTACTTAAAAATTTCAAAAGAAACGTTAAAATACGATAGTTTCAATGTACAATAAATTGATTTATACGTTGTATATTATACATAACAGCTAATAAATTGTTATACCATATTTAATTGGATATCGAAGTAGACTTAAAACTACCGCAGTAATGTGTGTTTATTATACTGTTCATGTAATGCGAGAATTAATTTACACTATTTTTTCTGTTTTGTAGTGAAGTTTTTGGTGTTCTCAATGTCATTATGTTTCTTGTGCCTCAAGTCTATTAAGCGGCTCTCCAAAGGAAAATTGATGACAATAGAGATTTTTCGTAGCAAATTTTGTCTGATTGCAGTGCCTTTGGTGGCGGTCGTTTTTCGATTTTCTTTATAACAAACTTATTATACTGGTGAAAAACCGGAAAAATGTACACAATAACAGTTAATTAATTTTTATTAAGTTTGCGGTTTTTTTTTTTTTTTTATGAAAATCGTCAAAACCGCAACATTCAGTGTACGCACCATTAACCGAACCTCGCTCAGGATCGTTTTTCGTTAGCGACAATGATTTATCGTTGCGTACAGATATTACGAATTGAATCACCTTCATTCCATGTAAATTTAAACATATTATTGTGGCCTACCTTCTCGACTTTTTTTGTTGGTTTTTTTTTTTTTTGAACTATGGATACGGTAACACGGTCGTAATAAAATACACAATAATATACGCTTTCAAAGCCCCCGAAAAAACTGGCACGAGATGTTTGCTGCAGTGTGTGCAGTATATTATAATATACACGCGGTATAAAGAACATGTTTTGTTTTTGTTATTTTTTTTTTTTTAGGTAGCCGTACGGCACTGGTATATTATCGATTTTCCCTCACTAAGCAGCCGACAGCAAATTATAACCGACACGCGAATATCGTGTCAATCTCGTCGTAAAGCAGAATTATTATTATTTCTCCGGGTCCGGGCGTTTTATTGATTTTTTTTTTCATACTTACGTATAAAAGTTCAACGAGGGCTCGTTGAATTTTTTCTTCAATCAAACGTGAATTTGTTTTAAAAATAATATGTATACACACATTTAATTCACTGCAGTACACGACCTCTGTATAAAAAGCTCAACGATTTATACATTTTTATTCCGCATGAAAAATATATAATATTAAATTATATAGGTACTTATGCAAATCATTTGTTCCTATGTATATAAAAATATTTCAATTTTCTCCTTCGCATCACGGCATTTGCTGTGTAATTTAGATTTGTTTTTTTTTTTAAATTTCGACACGACACACTTGGTTAAAATAATAATAATAATATTGTCAACGGTTGTAAATTTGACGTATGATTTATTCTTGTTAAATTTCTCTGCAACAATATTAACAACCGCAGCGTGAATTCATATTATTTTTAACCTATAATAATTCCTCTTTCGAGTTGAAGGAAAAAACGGCTTTTGATTATAAAATAAAATAAACGAGACGAAACTAATTGGAGAAAATACTACATTTTTAAAAATACAAAATTTATTAATATTGTCGACGGTTTTAATTTAGTATTTATAGTAAGTTGTTTATCGTACATTTTTTTCTTGTTCTTTTCGGTCCGTTGAAGTCCATTGCGAAAGCCATCGCGATGCCTCACCATCTTTCTCTCTTTCTCTCTCTCTCTCTCTCTCTCTCTAGTATGACCACTTTGAAAGTCGCGTTCTGTCTAACAAGTCTTCTATAATATTATAAAACATTATCGTAAGCAATAAAATCCGTTCAGCTGATCCTGAATCTTCTTGTTTATGGTTTAAGTATCACATTGTATTATTATCACGATTATTTTATCGTTTTTAGTATATTATGTTTGCGAAAAGTACGTTGGGTCGTATATTTTTAGCGCATAAAAATGTATTGCATATTTTTACACTCAATAGTTGTTTGTTTGGTTTTTTTTTTTTTAATGCACAATTCAGTACTTTAGCAGTGGTAGTAACACATATATGTATACAAAACGATTTAATAATCAACACAAGCATCAACACGCAAATATCAAGCTTGATAGTCCTAACTTACATAAAGAGGGCAAATCGTATTGATACACCCACGAAATATTTGTCGAATACCCTCAACTGTGAAAATATCAAAAATATTTGAAATCACTTAATTACAAATCATTTCTATATTAATTCACATAATACACGGTATAAAAAAATATTATAATGGTTTATCTATGCAATAAACTCTTTTTCTAGTATATATAGTATAGTAGGCTGCCGATTTTATTATAAAAATATGCGGACAGAACATGTCAACTTATCAATGAAGTCCAAGAACTATAAAGTAGCTGAATTAGTTCTTGGCGGTGTTCTCGTCCATGTTTTTATTATTTAATTATTTCGTTATTTATTTGACGGACAATATATATAATTATTATGATACATAATCTCCGATGATTATATATATTATTATTATTGTGATACTGTCATTGGTGTTTGAACGGATGTCTTTAATAAACTGTTTTCGCGTAGGTACGAGAGAAGGGGTCGGCACGTCGTTTCGGGATTTTAGCTTAATAAATCCTCTCGTGCGCGGCGGTGGCGGCGGCGGATCCCTTATCCGACGATGCCAAACAAAACGGGGTAATAAAAACAAATCTGTTTTCTAGACGCGTCCCTGACGTATTATATATATACGTACATATATCCCTGTATACAGTGCGGCAAACTTTATAACCCCTCGATGACACCGACCCGACGGGCGGTGAAATTTATGTCGGTTTTAGCTGCGAGCGTTTAATGTGCAGTTTGAACATTGTTCCGTTTCGCGTACCTCGCTTATACACCTAATCCCCTGCGCGTCGACACGGTGACGACGGCGGTGGTAAATAAGAAAAAAAAAAAACAGAAAAGAAAAACCGATTGGATTTTCTAAAATGCGTATATACTTATTTTTAAGTATATATCCCATTTTGTCGCGGCCTTTCTAAAAACATAATTGAATCGGCTCGGTTTTCAGCAGTCGTATGATTTGTACAAAGTGAAAGTGTATGGTAAATAGTTTAATATAATATATAGGTATCTGCGGAAATAACATTTTAACTTATTTTTACTATAAATATTTTATTTGTAAAAATATTTGTTAAACTACAATATTATTTTTAGATTCTGAGCGAAGCCAGTATTGTGTGACATGTGCTTGTGTGCGTGTGCGTGTCTGTTAACATCCTTTCTATCAAAAGTCTTACTCCGAACATTGAATTCGGGGGAGGTTTCTGGAAGCGAATTCTGTCTTGTTGGTGTGTTCGGCAGATCGGTTTTTAATTTTCCATGCGATAAAACTAAAATGGTTTTTCGTTTTTTTTTTTTTTTTGTTTATTCAATTATTTTATATTGTATCGAAGAATATAATTTGTATAGAAAATACAAGTATTCATTCTGGTTTATCGCGGATCTTACTATACATAACAAAAATATTGTATAATGTAGTTCAGTTGCCTATGTTCGATATTAAAATAATATTACATGATACATGAAATTATATTGTTTGTTTGATTGTTTTTTTTTTTTTTGTTAAAAAGTTAATTTTTAAGTAGAAAATTATTGCTTACTTGTGTTAATATAGGTCACAATGACAGTACAATAATTTATACAAAACTATTACTTTTACCACGTACATAATTATAGTAAGTAAAATATCGGTATAGTAAATCGAAATCTTCATATTATTATGATAAAGACGTATATTATACTGGACTAGGAAAATAAAATGGTTTCGTTACTTTAGTCTGTATCGATTGCCCGTTGAAAAATGTGTATTATAAACAAACGAACAATATTATTTTGCGCTTCGATATTTATTCGAGTCCACTAAAATGTAGATTCTTTTTTTTTCAATTTCTCTGACATTGGGAATAGCACGTGTACCTAATTTTCGTATGCTTTGCCATTCATATTGTCTACGCAAATCGACGAGCACATCGTATCGGAAATCCATAGAAATCAGATTCGGTTAATTTTCTGCAATGATGACTGATGATGATTATTGTTCGTATAAGGGTATTAAATTCAACAGAATGACTGCGTTATTATACATTTGGTGTGTAGGAGTAACAATCGACGGTTATCGATCAAGGGTGAATTCGGCGTTTTTAGACGTTTTCCGTGTTTATAATAAAAAAAAAATATAATTTCCTAAGGCTCAATGATAAACGATTTCATCAACATCCAGACGAATGAACAACAATGCGAGTTTACAGGTCACCAAACAAAAAATTCAACTGTAAAATCAAAGTCCCCAAAGTGACGATTTTCCATGACTGTCGACACGATTTAACACATCACGGTCAAATATATATTTAATGTTGGATATCAATGCGGGCAGTATGGAGTTCCGGACTCCGTGGACCTCCCCCCCCTCTGGCCCGTAAATACCGCCCTGGGTGAAATATGACGACGGACCGGCGGCGGCGGGTGTACGCAAAACGGCGATTAATATTGAAATAATGGATTTTGACGTTTACGAATAATAGACATAGAAAAAAAAAAAAAAAACCCCCGAAAACGCTTATTCGGTCCGACAACCGCAAAACGCTCGCGCGCGGCCCGGACCGAACGTTTCGTTAAACTACGTGACGCCGTCCCGAGAGATCGTTATACAATGGTAACAACAATCATTACGGTTACCGTCCGACGGCGTACGCATTATAATAATGTTGTGGGAACGGTACACGGTGGTGACCGGTAGCGGGCTCTCGATGCGTGTGTTACGTTCGTGCCGGCGGTCAGCGGCACGTGAAAAATGAAGCCGCCGCGGCCCGACCGCGAGGACGGCGACGCAGTGCGTTACTGCTGCCGGTTTACCGTGTGAATCCGATAATACCGCCGATGACGGCGGTCGATCGCCGGTAAAATCGTACGCGTACAACGTACCACCGCGCGAGCGCGGAGAACGAGAGAGACGGAACGCGACGGCGGGCACGAACCGAAAAGGATAGAGAGGAGAAGAAAAAAAAAAAAAAAAAAAACAACAAACGGCTCCTGTCATTATAACATCGATTCTATTCCGCCCGAATCGTTGTGATATCGTGTTATTACCGCCCGCCCGCCCGCCAGCGTGTGTTGCCACCGGTGTAATAATATTATCGCGGTGGCCGACCGCGGTTTCTTTTTCTTTCTAATTTTTTTTTCTTTTTTTCCCACACGCGCGCGCGCGCGCGCATAATGGTCGTGTAATAATAATATTATCGTATTGTAACACGATGCGGTTGTTCCGCGCGCACACGTACCGTCGCCTATTACTACGGGCGTTCGTTGTTACCGCGCGTCGTGTTGTCGTCACTATCGGGAGTACCCGGCGCGATCTCCACTGGCGCGCGTATCGCACACACGTAGCCGCGGTCGTTTTCGGTAGCCGGGCGGCAGCGCAAGCCGCGATCGCGTGTACCCGTTTTGTGGCTTTTTTTCTTCTTTTTTTTCATCGTCTTCTCGTCTCTCTCCCGCCCCGGGCAATATTCGCGGGTAAACGGTTTTACCCGCGATCCCGCCCACCGGCGGTGGAGTGTTGTTGTGCCGCCGTCACGTGTTTTATACGCGCGGGAGATCGCCCGGAATTCGGAGCGTTTCTTCGGTTTTCGTCCGACCGCAAATCATAAATCCCGCAGTACCTTTCCGTTCGGTCGCCGGTAAACAAACACGTGCCATTCCGGCGTCTGCAGTCTTCGATCGATGTTGCATTCGCTAACCGACGAGACACGAAGCGCCGGAATCGATTTCGGGCGGAAGGTTCGCAGACCGAACCGAACGGAAGCTAGGTGTAGCGTGCTCGGAACTTTATACAGTATTTATATCCGTTCGCGTAATTCGGGTCGTCTGGCAAGAGTCGGATCGGAGGAAAAAAATCAACCCGAAAATATTGTCTCCGGGCCCGTAGGCCCGCATTTCAAATGTTCAAACTTGTGTGTGTGTGTGTGTGTGTGAGGGGGCGGGGGTGTTATCTGCAGTTGTCGTCTCCCGAACATGTACATTTTCGAATAACGCGTCTTTGTTATTCAAACATTTATAACGTCAACGGGCCACTGTTTTTATTTTCGCGTGTAAACCTATTCGATGTCGTTTTTAATTTTTGAAAATTTTTTCCATCCCATCGCTTACTAGTCGCGGTTTTTTATTTTCGTTCAAATGACTAATTTTAGCGAGGTGTACACCGCCGCGGAGTTAGCGCGACGGAATTATTCGCTATTTATCTACTCGTCTAATCACACCGCCATCGTCGACGGTTCGGTTGTATCGCCGAAAATAATTTATTTGGCCATCCGTCAAAAATGCCATAGTCGTTTTAACGAGGCGCCCGAGTTAAAACTTTCGATTTGATGCACTCATTCGTCGGGTAAAAAAAAAAAAAAAAAAAAAATGATGTAAAAATGCGATTTTTGAGTTAATTCGGGGTGTATAATGACATTTACGTTTTTACATTATGTATACATTCAAATATTGCACGCGTTTATAATGGAATATTATTTGATGCGATCACGCAATATTATGGTTTTTTTTTTTTTTTTTTAATTATATTAATAATAATTTATAGGAATTCGAAAAATGAATTATAAAAAAAAAAAAAAAAAAAAAGTATTATATATTTGTTTTAAGCGTGTCAAAAATTTAACTGCCGACCAGGGAATACAATAATATCGCAACGACACTGCAGCGTTTGACGCATACGGTGTATAACAACATGCTTACATATCGTAATGTTCTTTTATTATAATATCATGTATTTATGTATGTACGACTGTGTAATTACCGGTGTTTGAAGGGGGGGAAAAAAAACCCGAACGGCGTTGTAAATTATAGGAATTAGGAAAGAAAATAAAAAAAAAATAAACGTGTACAAGGTGGTCGAAACGAACGCGCGCGCTTATAATATTATAATATACATAATGTTGTATATACAGGGTCAATTATAGTCTATTTCGAATATTATTATTATTATGTCAAACGCATCTACATAATATTGTAATAACAATAATAATATCTCGCTATATTATACGACCGATATTCTTTTCTTTTTTTTTACCAAGCCGATAAATTCTAATCATAAATACGACGAGCGCGCTTGTCCCCGTGCTACTACTAAACGTATTATATATTATGTCATTATGCGACGACGACGACGACGACCACTGCCGCTGCTGCTCCCGGTGTTCGAATAATATTCATTAGCGATGTCGTCGTCGCGGAAGGAAGGGAGAACGGAGGTACTGGAAATGATGAACATAAAAAAAAAAACAACGAAAAAACATTAAACCTCGCCAAGAATTTTCGTTTAAAAATTATATGTAATTGCGACGTCGCGACAAACTAAACAGAAAAAATAAAAAAAACACCGTCTATATTATAAGTACACCGGCATGCTATTATATAGATATTATAAAATTCCGCGAATTTTCTCTTTTAAACGGTCGCGAGAACGCCAAAATTCAGCGTTTGCGTATATAGCGGTTATTTTCATTCGACGTCTTTGTTTTTAAAAAAAAAAAAACCGGTCACGATTTTACATTCGAGTGTTAGTGACGTAGTAACAGTTTAACACAGTGTACAATACCTTTTTATTTTCATCCACAACAGCAGCACACAAATAAAACCGATAACCGATCGACGTTCGAACACACGCACATTTGATTTTCGTAAAACCGATCGTTCCATCTTCTGCTGCATACCGCGTGTATTGTGTTAACCGCGTGTTCACGATGGTTCATGCGTATAACCGTTTATTAACGTACGCGTTGATGCGCATGCGTGGTTTCAAAGCTGCGCGTCCCGCATGTGATGCGCATGCGTGGTTTCAAAGCTGCGCGTCCCGCATGGCCCGCTGCACACAGGATTCGAATTTCGAAACGCGCGGTCCTCGAACCGAACTTAAAAACGGTGTTTTTGCAGTCGACCGTTCGGTAAAAATGTCGAGCCCTACGAACGGGCGTCGACAGATACGAGTCGGGAACGGGAAACCGTGTTTGCACACGAAACGGTATTTTTCTGGAAATTATCTCTTCGGAACGCTATGTGTCCGGGTATAACGTATGCCGTCGGTTTCCAGAACACTTTCGTTAAGCGTTATTTGGCTTGCGCGCGGCAAGTACCCCGTGATCCATACGCGGTCAGGTAACCTAACCCGACCACGCTGTGCTATTTCATAGCGAATCGCGAAATTGTCCGATTGAAATATTCGGACGCGAGCCGGCGAAACAAGCGAGTGTGTGGAGGCGCGGCCGCGGAGCGTCGCAGCTGACGAATCGATTGGTGAGAAATTCTCGTTCGACCGGGGAACCGTTGGGTTTTTTTTTTTTTTAATCGAATCGCCGGGCTTTTACGGGCCCCCTTCCGTTCGACTGTACAGCCCCTGTACGGCCCGTCAATTAGGAACAGGAAACAAAAATAGGTTCTTGCTCCGCGGTTTCCGAATGCGCGCCCTCAGCCGCGCGTGTAAGATAACAGGTTCTGCGATTCGATTGCGGGACGGGATTCCCGGGCGCGTCGCGAATTCCCGGCAAATCGAACCACCACCCCCCCTCCCCCCTTCCCGTCGGAATTCGCGGGCTGCATTGTACACCGTGACACGAATTATCGCGCGCGTAGCGGGCCCGGTATTAATATTATTCGATCGTAGCCGTCCGGTCGTCCCGGGCCCGGAGGCCGTTTCGGCGGTGGTCACCGGAGCAACGGGCGCACGTTATCGCATTGCATTATACGGGACGTATTATGCGCGCGTTGCAAGACGACAGAGCGCGCTGCGCACGCGTTTGCGGCGCGTATAGCGTACGTGCGTGCACGCATAATGATATTATATTATACACATGCGTACGTGTTGTATAATATAATATAGCGATAGGTTATATTATATTATATTATTATTATTATTATTATTATAATATAATATAGGGACTGGACCGAAACAAAATCCGTACGATTTGCCGGCGCGTTTGTTGTCGGCGGCGGCGGCCTAAAGGAGTGGCCGGACCGGCACCTTCTAATTGGAAGGCAGAGGTGTGTGGTCTCAAAGGTACCGACAACCCGGCGGAGCCCCACCACCGCGAGCGCCTCCGCAAGCCGGTTCGCCGCCGCCGCCGCCGCACCGGCGACTTCTTCGCGTCGATACACGTATTATTATATTACCGTATATTGTCTATACACGTATTTTTTTTTTTTAATACGTGTATATTATTTTCTCCGCGGACTCGTATAATATTATTATTACTACTATCGTCATCATAACACTACTTAATATATTATAATGTAATACGCACGCCGCGCCGCGTCTCTTTCGCTTATCCCGGTCCGCGATCTTCGGACAATTTTTAATAACTTTATACGCGTATTATCGTAACATTATGCCGGCGATATCCTCTGCAGCGGTGCGCCGGCACATCCGGACGACGCCCACGTCACGTCGCCGGCCGCATCACATTTTTTTTTTTCTTTTTTCTTTTTCCTCTCCTCCAAAACGGTCCGGATGTCGATCCAATTAATGCAGTCGGGCCGCTGTCGGTAAACGTTGTGGTTGTATACGACGATTTCGCGTATAGAGAACAACATCCCCGTTGACGCGTGTTATCCGCGTGAATACAAACGCCGGGAAGGGGTTCTAGTTGCGGGGTGGTGAATCCGCCGGGACAAACGCGAAAAAGCTATTTCACCCCCGACGGGTTTTCACGAAAAGTCGTAAAAATCATACGGGGGGGGGAGGAAATAAAAAGGCGGTGTGAAAACCGCCCCCTCGAGTACATTATGAGTATAGTATGAATAGTGTATACATTTGTCGCAACACCACGGCGTGAATACGATAAAATATTTTCAAAAACTGCGCCCGTAGTTTTTTTTTTTTTTTATTACGCGCTCTCTGTCGGATACGTATCGTCATCATTCCGGACGATCCGGCGTAATTTGTATTTATCAAATTTTTTTTCGCTCTCCATTGTAATATGTACCTCGCATATTTCAGTCCTCGTTCGCCCGTAGTGATGGAATTTTCAAATTACATCCGCTACAAGAACGGCGGTTTACGACAACGAGGACCGCGCGTTTAAACGTCTATTAAAAAAACGCCGCCGAGCTGCCCGCTAAAAACGAGAAAATAAATTTAAAAAAAAAAAAAAACCGTACAGGTTTGTTTTTTTACAACGTTACGGTTTCGTCGTTGTTAAATACCGCGGTCTTGTTTCCCGGCGCTGCGGAACAGTAAAACAATAATTATCGCGCTATATTTTCTGGGGAGTGGGAGGGGGAGGGGAAATAATAATGAAAAAATGTTATTCCGCAGCTGCGCAGTATTTGTTTGATAAATGGCGTCCGATCACGCGTAATTTGTCGGTAATTTTCGGGCGTCGATATTAATTTTCTTCAATCGTTCGCTTCACGCTCCGGTGACGATGTCTCTCTCTCTCTATATATATAATATATGTGTACAACATACCCCCGAGATTATCTCAAAAGAATATTATCACGTATCTGTTCCGTTTTCGTCGATGTTATTATTGTGTCATAGTGCCGCACGAGAACGTCAACAATATACGCGCGTTAATATTATGTTGTTTTAACTTTTAATTTCATAATAATTGCATCAAACGCGGCTGCAATTATATAATGATATTGTTTCCCTCCACTCCCCGAGGGAAAAGACAACGAAACGTTATAGTTTTTTCCCCATGTGACCGTGTAATTTTTGACCATTAACTATGCAAATTAATCTTCTGCGTGCACGTTGTTACAAATAATAATAATAAAAAAATAATAGTAATTGAATAAAAAATAAAAAATGGGTTAACGCGCGTTAATATATAATTTATACCGATTTGTGTGTGTTGTTAAATAATTAAAAATTTCGCTAAGCGTTAAATCGTTCCGCGTGTTGCAACGCGTTTGATCCTACCATACCGCGCGTCTATAATTTTTTCTGTTTAAATAATATTGTGCAAGAATTTTGTAACGTTCGCCATGTGCGTACCTACACTTCAAAGTCTGGTTCACGAGGCGATGTATCGTAATTGTCGCGAAATTCACTACCGCGGCAGTATCGCACTATCGCGAAAGTCGCTAACGTGATTATCACGCGCGCGTATAATATTATAGTCGATAGCTATCGTCTTGAGACCAGTGATATCGTACACTTCGGGAAGAGAACTCCGAAGGAAAGATACGTTGCCGTTTAAAACGCAGGGAAGATGTGGCTAGACTCGACGTGGTGTCCGAAAACTATAAGGACGTGCAGTCGATAGGGACGATCGGAGGGATATCGACCATAATCGATTTAATGGCGCGATACGAATATCAAAGTATTTCATCCGCGATCGCGCCCCTATGACTATCGCTATCCTTCTTACCGGGGACGTACGCAGAATAAAGGTTTAGGAGGTGTTTTTTTAATGAATCAGTTATTGAATATTAAAATTTTTTTTAATAAACATGTGAAACATTAGGTTTGGTTAAACCGAACACTTTGGGAGGGGGAGGAGGGCGTTGATTGAACACCCAAAACACTCCCTTGCGCGTACGTGCCCGCTTCATACTAAATATCGTTCGCCAACAATCACCATGGACCGGGGGCCGAGGAAGCCCATTTATTGACGGGTCTTGCGTTTCCCCCCCCCCCGCGTCGGACGTTATTATCAACCGTTAACCGATCTCGTTTGTTATCTAAATAATATATTTCGTATCGGCCGCGGAATAGTCGAGTCGCACAAACGTGTGCGGGCATCGCTGTGTAACACACGCCGACGGCAACGGGGATGACGATGACGATGCCGCGGGCGGGCGTGCCGTTTGAACGAACAATCCCCGATCGTGTTTTCACTTATCGCAACGCCGTGTGTGCCCGCGTTGCCGCGGAGGAGTGCGCGAGCACGGCGATTACTAATAATAATAATAATAATAATAATAATGATAATAATAATAGAAGATGACGGTATACGCGCGCAATACGGTCTCCCGTAATCGGATCTGGGTGTACACGCACCGCGGCCGAGAGACAATGGGTGTAATCATAATCATTAGCCGACCGTGAAGATTTCGCCGTTGCGCGGTAATATTACAATGCGCCGCGGTGTCGTGTGTGCCTACGCGCGGCACGGCCGTAACGCGACGTGTACGACGGCCGGCTCTCCGAAACCGGTGTTTATCCCGCGCCCTAAGTGGTTAATAACACACACAGCGCGAGAGTCCGCGCGGATGTGTCCGAAAAAACAAAAAAAAAAAATCGAAAAAACACCGGACGTCGGGGGGCCCCCGAGAGAAGAGGAACGTGGACGGCGGCGGCTGCGTACTCTCCCGTACAATTATTGTTGTTCGTGTAAATTTGCATACAATGCGGCGCGCGCGCGGCGGCAGCGGCGGCGCGGCGCGGTTTTCGGCGTACGCCGCCGCCGTCGCGTTATTGTTATGAATATTTCGAAATCCGTCTGCGAGCCGGGCCGAACGACGATAATTACACGCCGGCGGACCCGCGTGCGTGTCGTACCATTATCGGAACCGATTGTGTTATTGAAAATAATGGATATTTATGCGCGCGTTATTTACCGTCCGGGGGTATTACGATAATTATACGAGCGGGCCCGTCTCCCGGGCGGCGCGCCGCTTTTCGAACGTAGCGCGCGGGAAACATGACGCGGGCGCCGCGTCGTCACCGCGCGCGTTTCATAACGGCACAATCGGACCGTCCCGTCGTCGCGGCACGTGACGCGTTCCTACACCGCCCGCACCTGCCCGCCCGCTCGCATTCGCGTCCCGTCAGTCGACCGCCGTTATCAATCGATAACAGTGTAATTATTGTTCCGATCGTCGTGTTGATTGAACCGCGCGTACCGGGTTTCGTTGTTATTGCCGCCCGCCCATCCGTCTCGCGCACGACGTACGGTTTCCAGCGCGGACGCGCGTTGGTTTTCGGGCGCGCCCGCGTGCGACGGGTCGACGCTCGTCACGACGCGGCGTTTGCGCTCGGCGTATTTCCGATCGACATTTCCCATCGGTCGTTATGTTTCCTCGTGGTTCGGAATCCATGCCGAGGATAAGACCTCTTGCACTCGATAGTGCAGAGGACAATTAATATTCCATTCGTAATCCCGTGTGCCGCCCACCCGTCTGTTCTGTCGAATTTCCGAAGGTATAACGGTTGTGTGTAGTCTGTATTGTTTTTGAACGATAAAATCTCGTTACCGCGGGTTCGGTCGTTTCAGAAGCCCCTTTCCCACTTAACCCCTTCGCTACTTTGTTTGACCACCCGAAGACATTATAGGTCTGAGGAAATCCCCTACTGCACCTACACGTGCAGTCGCCGACCCGATGTGCGTACAATGTTATTACACAATAGTAAACTACTATCTCGTGCGAGTATCTATCGTATGATACGAAACTGAGGGAAAAAAAAATATGTTTGTTATCGCGATGACATTAAAGACGGAGATTTTAAAGATACGTAATATATAAGTACTCTCTCTCGGAAACAATCTCTCGCGCGGTCGTGTAGCAAATGTGATTCATCACGAATATTATTAAAATAACGCGTATGGAAGATAAAAAAAAAATAAATAAAAATACTACATATTAGTGGTCCGGTTGATATCTACACGTCGTCATCGTAATGCGGTAATAACATTGTACTGCTATTTTTATGTATATAATGTATACATTTTGTGCATATCCTTTTAGATTCTGAACGAAGCGAGAAATGTATAGTACTTTTATTATTGTGATATGTTTTTTATAAACAACTTTTCCACCAGAAATCGCATTCCGGTCAAAAACTTTATGTAGGAATTTTTTTGTGGTTCCAGTCGGTGCGTTGTGGTGGTTGTAATTTGATTTTCCTTGTAGTTTTCCCATAATGAATGCGAAAAATTGGAAATTTTTTCAGAAATCAACAAAAATTGTAGTTACGATTACCATTTTTTCCGACTTATTTGGAAAACTTCAAGAAGAATAAAAAATAACCTCCTTAATGCCCTAACTATATCAAATATTCTGTAAGAAGGTTTTCATGAAGTTTATAATCGAAGTAAGATTTATGGTAGAAAATTTGTTTGCAGACACAAAAAAAAAAAAAAAACAAAAATTAAATTACTCTCTATGAATATCTTTCTTTCCTTTCTAACTTTCCTCCTGAATCGTCCATCATCAGTATCGGCCTTTTTTTTTTTTTACTCTTAAGAGACCGCAACACTGCACGCGCCAAAGCTTTTGTGTTGGGGGTATTTTTTTTTCTGAAAAATAATCACCCCTTGCAACGTGCAAGACCATCGCGGAAAGAATGAGAAACAAAAGGGCTGCTGCAGTGTATATTTTATAAAGCGCGTATAATAACATGGAAAAAAAACACGTGTAATATACACACCGCCGCCGCCGTGATCCGAGAGTTATAATAATAGCCGGAGGAGATGCGCGCACACACGCGCGAGCCAACGTGTACAGAACATACAGGGTGTGTCTTTTATCACAAATCATCCCCGGTAATCTATACGCACGTGTATACAAAGGTATCGAGTAAATTCCATAGTTTTTTTGTTTTTCCATAATAATTACGAAATTCTACTCTAGTCTTCCGCCCGTGTAGGGGGCCCGACCGTCAACATCACGTATCGGCCATCGGTTCTCGAATAATTTCAAATTTCAAACCGGCATTGAAAAAGAAAACGAATTATATAAAAGTATATAGTGTACACATTTCCGAATGAGCGTGTTCTGTTACGCGATGTTATCTATTTTAAAATAGGTTTTTAGAAAGGGCGGTGGAACGATCAAACGTGTTTACTAATGCCAATCGGTAATTACGCGCCGAGCGTTTGCGATGTCGTCTACGGAATGAGACGTTCTTACAGTTTTTTACACTCGGTCACGCGGAACGGGGTGGACATTTTTGAGAAAATTCTATCGCGCGTAAAAACATAAAAAAAAAAAAAAAAAAAAAACAAAAATCCGGCCGAATTTTCCCGAAACGCCGTTCGCGTAAATATATATTGCGAACGGGAACGCGTCGTGTAGTGTCACACACGCGTGTACCGCGGCCCCGTTCGAGACGGTGTACAAAATGATCACCCTGTATAATATTGTGTACGCACGGGCGGCGGCCGTTTGCGCAAACACAAATTGATCCGCTACCTAAATCCTAATGAACCGCCGCCGCCGCCGCCGCCGTTGTATTAATCATTTCGTTATGTACACATCGACGGCGAGTATTATTTTCTCGTCGTAATGAACACCGCCGACACGGCGGCCGCGCCATCTCTATAACACTATTACGGTCCGAAACGCAAGAGCGCAATCATTATTGTTATTATTATTAGACGGAGATATTTTTTTTTTTTTTTTATCCTGTTTATTTTCTCCGTTGTTCCACCGAACTCCGGCCGGCCGTAATCGTATAGCTCTTCCGTCCGCCCGTCCGTCCGTCCGCCGCTCCGGTACGGGACGCCGCGAGAAATTCTCGATCGCGCCGGCCGGGACGATTAGCGACTAGTAGGGACTAAACAACGGGCCCGGACACAACCGGCACGCCCGGAACGCGCCGCGTCGTTATCACGATACAATTACAATATGATATCGTGTAGAGTACGATAGCGTCGTTACATTATTGCTGCTGTCGTTGTTGTTGTTGTTATTGTCGTTATTGTTGTTATTACTACTACAGATATCGTCGCGCCGAACGGAGACGGCGGCGGTAGACTCGCTCGGTCATCGCCGTTGTTAACGTAACGATATCGCGTTATTAACGGGCGGGGGGACGGGGACGCGGGACCGATCTGGATGCTACGGCCCGGGCTGTAAAACGGGATATCACGGTAATAGCGTAATTGAGACGTAATAACGGCCGCGGCGTCGTTCGGCTTTTCGTGTTCAACGCGACGCGCGCGCACCCCGTACACAACACAATGCGCATACACACGTGTTATTATTGTTGGATAATATTATTACCGGTGTACTGACTACCGCGCTATTACGATAATGTTGCGCGCACTCGTAGTACGCACTTGTTGTTACACTTTACGACGGCCGCGACTTACTCGCGCACTCGATATCGTTGTTTCACTCGTGCCGCGCTTACGGCGCCATTACCGGCCGCCGCACTAATAACACTAATACTACACTAATTATACGCGACGACGCTGGGCTGTCGTACACGCAGTACCACAACAACAACAACAACAACAACGTCGTACGCTCCGCGCGGTATAATCGTACGTAAATACTAATACCATACGCCCCGACCTCCCGCCCCCCCCCCAAATGTGACGCGTCTCGTAAACGGACCCCGGTAATTGCAGTCCGGGCCCCGTCTGTTTTTATTGTACGCTATATTGTACATATGTATTATTTTATTATTGTTATTATTATTTTTTTTTTTTCCCCGTTTTTATAACACTATCGCCGTAGCGTAATTATTATTATTATTATATTATTGCGCGTGTGTACGGTGCCCCGTCGTCGTCGCCGTCGGCATACCCGCTTTTGTACGCGGCGCACATAGACGCGCGCGACGTTTCCGAAGAGGACAGGACCGCGTATTGCGCGCGCGCGCGTGTGAATCGTTAAAATCAACCCTAATAATAACGCGACGGCGACGATAGCGAACTTAAAACCGTGTTACGGGTACGTGATATTAAATTTTATGTACGTGAAAAGGACCGCGCGTCGGCGATTTCTCCTTTTGCTTTTATTCCGATGCGTCGTAATTTTCGGGGGTTTTTTTTTGTTTCCTTCCAAAACCCTACACACGTGCTGTCTGTCGCCGCAACAATAATAATGTCTTTTGTGGACACGCCGCCGACGCCGACGCCGCCCGACGGGTCTTTATACGATACGTACCCCGGCGGAACAAACGCGACACGGGCAGATACGTGATAATAATGTACGCGTAACAATAATAATAATAATAATAATAATAACAATAGCAACTAACGATTTAATGGTACCTATACAATGTTTACGAATAACGATAATCCGGAGAACGGCGATCGAGAGCGGTCGACCTTTTTACCGGTAACGCCGCGTCTCGGGGCCGGGGCACTCATTCACTGTCCGCTCGCGGGTACGTCCCGGCCGAGCGCGCGGGGCCCCCGCGAAAATTACCCGGTAGATTTCGACCCCGGTCGACCCGGGTTTAATCCCGCCGGTCGTATTGTCGCGACCGGTTTTTCCGCGCACTTCCCCGTCGGGAACCTAACCGCCCCTTATCCGCCGTTTCGCCTAAGCCCGTCGCGGTTTTACGTAGGCGTTTCGGGCTTTACGCTTCGGACGCGCGGTATCTCGAGTACCGACGGACAACAAAAGAGTATGTACAATTAAAAAAAAAAAAAAAACAGACAGGTCTTGGCCGCCGGGGCGCGTATATTTCCGCCGCTCGAACGAAATTTAACGTCCGTCGGGATCCTCGCCGATTGTTCGCGAGCGTGGTCACTCCGGTATTACATATAAATGTAACGGGTCTACGGGTACGGTGATCGAGTCTCCGGGGCCGTCGATAAGCAACGAGAAGAACAAATGTTTTTTTTACACGCCAATAGATGAGGTAAAATGCGATCTGGTGACCAGGACGGGCGTATGGGCCCGGTCGCGGTATCTTTTGGTGGCGACTTTTTTTTGTTGTTGCTTGTCTGTCTCCGGGTCGGCCATCTTTCAAAATCGTGTCGCAGCCGTGCCCGTAATCGAAATGCCCCGATAATATAATACAGTCGAATAAAATATGCAATAATAATTGGAATGTCTATTTAGCCCCGTTCAACTTGTTGTGCGTGCACTGTTATAAGCGAAATCGCACCGGGCCGAAAAAAAATGTGCCCATCCACAATTAAAAAACTTTACGGTTTTATCGACCGTGAACGCGAAAACAACAACGGAATAAGAAAAAAAAACGAAAATCACGACCAGTTTAACGGCGAAAAATAAATCGCCTTTTCGATTTTTTCCTATATAATATTTTAAACGGGCGACCGTTTTTTTCCCCCCCGTCGTCCCTTTCCGCCTCCCGCTGGCGACGACGCGCGTTCGTCCGAACGGAAATAATTCCCGTCGAGAATTCCTCGTTCCTCCGTTTCGACGACGACGACGACGAATCCGATAAGTATGCGGCGTCACCGGGATTATTAAAATTTCTGATTTGCCAATTGGTCTCGCGCCGATGTGCACACGCGAAACCGAGCCCCCGTCGCCGTCGTCGCAGCGGCTTTGCAGGCGGGTCGCGCGCGGGGTCGTTTGTCAACGGGCGTGTTGTTGTCGCCGCGGGCGTCGGCGCGTTTAATGGGAAACGGGTCGGAAAACGTGACGACGTCACGCGGGCCCGTGCACCACCGCGGTACGCTGCGCGCACCGGCGGCGGCGCCTCGTCGACGGGCGTGTACGTGTGTAATAGATTTTCCTCTCGCATACCTCTCGCCGCCGTCGCCGTTCACTTTGCGCAAGCTATTTTCCGGACGATTAACCCGCAATCTAGTTTGCGACGCGCGAGGGTGGCGCGCCACCCCCGGCCGCCGTCGTGTTACGCACGCGTCGGTCGTCTTCGGGTATTTCGCTAACAAAGCGCGGCCCGGAGCTCTTTTTAAAACGAATTCGCGCGCGTTTCCCCCCCCCCCCGCCTCTCGAAGCCCCGCGTCGTTTGTTTTCGCGGAGAGTTTTTGCGGCGTCGGCGGCGGCGGTGGAGGAGGAGTAGGACGACTACGACGGCGATATAATAAACACGGTCGTTTCGTCCGCGGCTATCTCTGTTTTGTAAACTGCCGTAAATCAAAAAAACACCCGGTATACCTATGTACGCGTTTACTGCACGTAATAATATATATAGCAGCTACACCCTCGGAAACGTTTATTGTTATTTTTTCCGTACGCGGGGCTTTCATTCCCGTCGCGTTCTCGACGAGCACGAACCGAAAGTCGTTTTGTTTATTTTTTATTATTTTTTTTTTTCTATCCTTCGCGTAGCTACCTACATCAATATAGTGCAGTGCACATGCTTTACCGCTGCAGTATATACGACCCATTAAACCCGCAATCAAAGCCGCGAACTAATGAAATTAATCCGTTCGGGGGGGGTAATTTAAAAAAAAACCCCAGCCGGCGACGAGAAGCGACGAATCGATTTTAAACGCGGGATGTATCAACGACATATAGGTGTGTGCCGGACTCCGGGTTTGTGCGCTTTTGTTCACGATTTCAGATTTCGGCGTTATTTTTATGCACGAGTACATAATACTATAATATCGTCATTAGTTGTTCTTGTTTTGTAATACGTATATTAATGAGATTTCAAGATAAACAGGCGAAGCTCAGACAATTAGATTTTAAGACCAGATTGAGCTACGAAATTAGGAATGTGTCCAATTATTATACTTCTATTATTCGCCGAAAGTGCGTTCATAAAGGAAAATTTGATCCCGAGAGGAGAAAAAAGAGAACATTTGAAAACCTATAAAAAAAAAAAAAAATTTCATGTAATATCACGTGCATCCCTCGCCTCGAATCGAATCTGAAATTCTCGTCGAATCGCACAATCGATCGCGCTGGGTCTATAGTGACAAACGTTACCTACCCGGGCGAACCGGCCCGATTCGTTTTAGTTAAAACGATTTTCGCAAAATATTACACGGTCGCGTTGCATCAACTGTACGTTGCAAACATCGGCCGACTTCTTATCGGTTGTCAGCAGCGCCTATGTTCAGCGCGCGGTTACAATCGATAGTCCATTTCGTGTACCCGCTGCATGGCCGGACAACATTGTCTTAAATACAACAATCGTATCTTGTGTCGCGACACAGTTGTGGGAAGTATCGAGGGTCTTTATATACATGTATATTTTATTTTTATTTTCGGGATATTAAAATCGCGGTGTATCCGGTATCGGGCAACTCGATATTTCCGATTGTTCCGTTCCGTTGCAATATACCCGTTCGTTCCGTCCGAAAGGCGTTGAAAATCAATATAGTATCGGTTGTTGTCTACGATAATAGACTGCCGTCTCGATGTATCCCGAAGTGTTCGAAAGCCCCCGAGCGTAAAAAACCTAACGCAATAATACGTCCGTTTGACATCTCTGCGCCCATATAAAATAGCACGTCCTGACCGACTGGCCAATCATCGCTCGGCCCAAACTGCTGGACGGAACGGGCTGAAATCCGGCGCACAGACAGCTATTACGACGCGGGCATCCGCCGAAAATGGATTTTCCGAAAATTCCGACCCCCGGACGGGCCGAAATATACGCGTTTGGGTATTTTCGTTTGTTCGCGGGGTTACCCGGGCGACGTGGACGGCAATTCCGGTTTTACGGACAAGAAAACCAATTGCTATTATCACTATTGTCTGCGCTATTATCCGGCAACGGGGCGGGTGCGTCGCCGGGTCCGCCCGTACGACAATCTATAGCGCGTTGTCGCGTATCGGTACGTAAACGGCACTGACGCGCGCGCGCGTTACCGTCGCACGATAACGCAATATAAATACGTCTGTGCCGCCGTAATAATAAACGGTCGTCGTCGTCGTCGTTTGGCCGTAATTTGTCACCGCGGCCTACCCGGAAAGGCTATTAATTACGCGGCGGTGACAAGACGACGGCGGCGGCGGCGGCCGAGAAGAGTATTTATATATTATTGTGGCGTATAAATACGATACGATCGCGGGCGTAATAAATGTACAAGTACGTATTGTGTAATAACGCGATGACGTTATGTTATCACGTCCGTGCGCGCCGTACGCGCACGACGCCGCGGCGGCATTGTTTGCGGCGCGACGGTTTTCGGCGGCGATCGAAAACAAACGCAGCCGCGCATTGATTTGGTGCGCGCGCGCGCCCCGGGAATTTCGTGTACATTATGCGCGCGGCCGGAGTACTGCGGCGGCGGCGGGTCCGCGTCCGCATCGCTGTAATAATATATAATACGCGCACCGCGTGGGCGGCGGCAGGGAGGGACGCGGAAGGGGAGGGCGCAGCCATGTAAATTAATACGCACCGGCGGACACACTAATTGAAAATACTTAGTCCCTTCCCTCCGCGCGGGAGGCGGTTCGTTACGCCCGTTCCGCTTTAATGATATCCCGCCGCCGCCGCCGAGTGTATATAATATTATACATACACAGTATATATTATACGTGCGACGCGTACGTGTATATGTGTACATGGTATCCCTACGTTTATCGTATTGTTTAATTTATCAAATGAGTTTATCGAAATCCGCCCCCGCATCCACCTCCGTCTCCTCCTCCTACTGCCCGCGGCTTGTACCCGCCGGTCGCCTCTCGCACGTCCGCGATTCGCGTCCCCCCGTCCCGACGAGAAAACCCCGTTCGCCTCGTGGAGCCGCCGACAAACTCTCGTTTGTACATTCGCGTGCGCCCCAACCGAAATTTCGCACGGACGCGCGTGCACGTGGTGACGCCACGTTATCGTGCAGGCTGCTCTCCGCCCCCGCCGTATTCGAGCCCCGAACGGGGAGGGGGTTCGACGCGGGTTTCCGTCGGTGTTTTCGGCGCCCGCGCGAATCAATAGTCGCGTCCGTCGATTCGCGCGGGATGCGTTGGCGGTGCGGATGGAGTAACGTACGAGAAGTTAAAAACAAACGGCACGAATGTTATTATTGTTGTAATCATTCTATGGTATTCGCGGGTCACCTCGGTGTTGGGGCGACGTCAATTTGTATTCATTGTCTATTTGTGTTGGACGTGGGGGACACCGATCATACTTACGGCGCGAACGTGTTTCGCGGGACTTAAACACCGCGGAAACAAACTCTAGAGGGGACCGCGAGGGCAGTTTATACGGGGCAGAGGATTCATCTGCCCCGTACAGTGGTCCGGCGGTGTTCGTTTTTCTCTTGAAAAGATAAAGAATTTTTTTTACGAGAGTGTATATATATATATATATATATATATACCTCTAAACGATATTTAATATAGAGTTTGAATATTATGACTTATTTTTGTTTTAAAGTATAACTAACCCGACGTGAAATTTTCCATTTTCTGTTCCGTTTCATTTTTTGCCCAACATTTTGTTTCGACGACTAAAATACCGTTTTAGGTTTACAGTTATGGCGCTATAATTTCCTCGAAGTCGTATCAAGATTGGACGTAGCGGATTTATTTGCTTTATTTACCATCCTCAAATTTCGTTGTTGTATGCGCAGTAAAATAAATTACGATTTGAATTTCCGCTTTGTCTAGCCAAAATGAAAAATAAAATACAAACAAATTCTACCGAACTCCGAATACGCGTGTATTGTTATTTTCATTCCCTTGTTATTAATCCGTTTTTTTTTTCTTTTTCGTCTTATCTCGTTAATTTATTTCTCTACGTTCATTCCAATTAAAATTCAAAAACGCTTGCCAGTCCTTCGGCTTATAATATTTCGTTCCGCCGAGTGTATGTAAGCGATATGCAGTATGTGTGTGTCTGCCTAGTTAAACCTATTTATACGCCCTTGATGACGTTAAACGTACCAAGCATCGCCAAGTACACGATAACATGGTTAGGTATGCAAAAAAAAAATAATAATAATAATAATAATAACTGCTATCGGTTTACTCCGCAGCGCTGAAAACCGTGTATACATTGTGCTGTTATTTCGAGTATAATTATGATAATCCCCGAGTTAATTAATAATTGAACTATATTATTATGCGCGAAGAACGAATTGTTATTATAATATTATAATAGTCTGTGGATATATTTAAATCCGTAGGCTTACTGGAGACTTGGCGGGATTAATAATTACTGCTTTTTAAAAATAATGTGTCTAGAGTGCACCGTCCAAGCGTATATTTTATGATGAATTTCGACATAAATTATATTGGCGGGTGCTTCGAGTAAACGCGTCACAGGTACAGTTATAGCCGGGAAAGTATATGGTAATATGGGATACAGTTAATTCAGTTTATAACAATACACCGGAGTAACGATAAATCAACGCAATCAAAAATCGATTCATATAGTGGAGCCTTATATGTATATACTGCAAGTCGTGTTTTGTTTCCCCCTCGTCGCCTAGAAATCAATAAAAATAAACTCGACGTGACGTATCGCCATTTTGTTTCCGAATAAATTGCCTTCGGGAGAATATCCGCAATTTTTCGGGTACTGCGAAATAAAAAATCGGAGCATTTTTAATTACCGAAAAACTGGTTATCGGTGGCCAACTTATATAATAGTGCTTTTTTTTTTGTTTAAGGCTACATTCAAACAATATAGTATACAGTCTAAAACAGCGCGTTTATTGAGAAACCCGTGCCCCTTCCTGAATTCAGGAAGTGAATAATCTAACTAAAACTCGTGTGATCCGACATCGGGTTAGGTCAGGCGGTGTATCTCGCCAAAGAGCAATCTGCAGCCTCGTATGATCGGTGATTTTGTTAGAATACACGAAATACGGTAATAATTTTGCACACGTGAAAATTACTGCCTATCCGAATTATTTTACGACGAGTTATAATTATTCTTGTTTGTGCGATAAACGAGGCGCTTCGAGGAGATCTTGGACCATGGGCTCCACCCTCCAGTTTTTCAGCACGACTATACGCGCGATATTGCAATATTTACGTCGACCGCGTTTTTATCCCGAAACAAACGATTTTTATTCATCAATCGTACTCTAGAGCAGCGGTTCTCAAGCTTTTACGATCATGGCACCCATAGGGAAAAGTCTGTGTTTCGTGGAACCCCAACTCTAACTGAACCCTAATTTTTCAATTATTTATTGAAAAATCAATACTCCAAAAATTATTTATTGTTTATTACAATTGGTTTAAAAAACAATTTTCAATCAAAATTTTACTTATTAAAATTACAAATAATTATTATCTAATAATTTAAAAAAATTATTTTTAACAAAATATAATTAATTAGATTTTAAAACATACGTTTATTTTTAATATTTTTAATGCGATGAATAGAATTGTTTCGTGGTTTGATTCAAATAGTTTTGAAATTGTGTCTTATATCTGAAAGTTGAATTCATAGATCCGGAGCATTATCCAATCTATTTGTGTACTTATTTTTAGTATGAGTATAAGAGGAAAAACAAGCCTAACAACGGTAGGTCGTTACAAAAGGTAGTACAGTTAGAATAGCTTTCAGTTAGAGATGGGTATTCGTCCAATCCAAAACTCGTTTAAAAATCTGATTCAAATGTATGTTTTAAGGATGATATACACTTGATTTCATTAAGGTTTTCACATTCGAACACGGATAACATGGCAGGTTTTATTCTGTTCACAAAAAGATTTTGTATCCAATCAATGTCATTATAATTATCAGGAAAGTGCTGAGACAATGATTTTTTCGAGATTATCCAAATGTTATTCGATAATGTTTTTTCTTATGTTTTCTGATTTTATTTTCATCCAAGTATAATCGAAATAACGTTCTCAATATTCACATATATCTGGTGGAACCTTTGAGATTGTTTTACGGGACCATTAGGTTTCGCGGAACACACTTTGGGAATCGCTGTTTCAGAGTATAATAAATGTTAATATTTCGTTTTGTTTTCTACGGAATTATACCCTCCGATCATTATCATATTATTACGCTCTATACGCGTGCGGGTCCAAAATGACATATTCGTGTCCGATACGAATAAACGACCGTCGGCAAATTAATGGTTAGGTACCTGCGTTCGTATATTATCGCGTAAAAAACCGTGCCGCGATGGCGTCGTTTCGATATTGTTCGGTGTAGACCGGGACGAAACTTTGCCGGTTGACAAGGAAATGAGTTGTATTTATGAAAAACAAAAACAAAATCGTCCCACTTCGCTCGAATGCGGATTTGCATAACGCGAACAAGTAAAGTGTATATAATTTTCGTGGCCTTTGAATGCGGCCATTATATTATTAAAATGGGTCGGATAATATGAGAAAAGTCAGTCGGAGGTCAACCGAAATGCCGCGGCGCCGTCCAAAAGACAAGCCGGCTAACATTCAGACAGGGGCATCGGAAAACTCCTCCCGCACCCCTCCAGTGTGACTCCACTGCGTACGCACGATGCGCGATAAAACCTAAATAATATACAGGGCAGTGGCGTCCGGCCTACACGCAATGCGCGTATCGACCGCTATACCTAACGATATTGTATGGGGGCGGGCATCCAGAAGTCAAGACAGAGTTACGACTTAAAAACGAATTCTCTTCATTGTTGTAATATACATACATACTATACGGGTTAAATATGCAAACTCTAAATAATACATTTTATTAACGGCGTTTACACGCGTATTATCGCTAATACAGTTTCGATTTGGTCATAGCGGTACATATAGTTACATACACCCGAGTGTGTGTACGGTCGAATCGATCGATTATACGGGTGTAAACTCTCCCTAATTGGCTTTAATAACGGGGCGGGTATATATACAGTATATGTTCGGTTTTTCGTTAATTCGGTACCTACGTTATTTATATATATATATATATGTGTAAGATGAAATTCGAACTGACTGCTGCTGTTGTACATATACGTATATATTGTATAGAAGGCTGCTGCTGCTGCTGCGCCGACCGACCCGGACCATCTGTTTCGCATCGTCTGCATATTATTCGATGGCCGGTGGTCGACGACGACGATGAGAGAAACTGATGACTTTTAGAAAAAAAAAAACGTTTAATCGCCCTTTTAAACGCGCGTAATCGATATAATTAATTATCGTTTTTGCAATATATATTATACGAGTACCGACGTAATTCACCTCCTCCCCCCCCGGGATCGGACGGTCTTTACGGACGAAAACTCGGAAAGCGATTATATTTATTATTACGGCAGTTTTTTTTTTTTTTTTTTTTCCCGTATAGGTACCTACGTATATCGGGACGTCGGTAAATTTAATTTAATTTATTGTTGTGACGCCGTCGCCCCGGACCCGGACTGCACTCATCAATAATAACGTTTTTATACTGGCGGCAAAACCGCGGCACGTATCCGACCGTTTTCGGTGTGAACCAACGCCCCCAAATACTCGTGTTCGGGCCCGCGGTACGTTCTCTCTCGGTTATAATTTCCGAAAACGATTGACGTTATTTTCGTTTCGTCGGGTGCGATGCGATGTGCGTACGGCTATTATAGGCATTGCATGTTGTTCATTATATTATTATCGTATCGCGCGCGCGGTTTTTCGGTCCGGCGATTACCGTCATCGACACTCGCGTGTCCGTCGACGTTTCGTCACCCGAAAACGAAGAGGTTCCGTCTATCGATTTCTCGAGGGAAAAAAAAAACGCTTTTCAATACCTATACTATATCGTCATCGTGTATAGAAACGTAAGCCGGTTATCGCAGGACGCGGGGGGAGGTTAGGTCTATCGTGAAACAGGAATTTATTGTGTTTCCAGAAAAGATAATAATATATAATATAGAGCGGTCTATCCGTGCAACGCTCACTATTTTATTGCATTTACAAATACAAAATTATCGGTTCGATCTGCGGTCGTCGAATCGGATATTCAAATTGAAAAAAGCTGTCCTTTAGGATAACGGGGACGGGTGCAGCTACTGTTTTGGGTGGGAAGTTGGGATATATACGGGAATTTAATAAATATCAGATGTACGTAACGATTGCTAATGAAAACACGATTCCGAACGGAGTTCGGTTGACGTAATGTTGCTTTTTCATATTATGGTAAAATCCATATGTATTAAATATTTTCTTTAACAATATTTGTTTATAATATAATTATACCTATTTTCCCATTTTTTCCCGTGCGTTTTTCCCCTTTGCTGGGAAAACCCCTTGGGAAAATCAAAAAGCGACCTCCCTCAAGTACCACCCCGGTCAGATTTACGTTCAGAAAAAACGCTACAATTGTAAACAAAAACATCACTGTAAGACCGATGCATTGCTCGCCCCCCCGCTCAGAATCTAAAACAGCACGGCGTTCGGTGTCAAATCCGCGAACGATCGCAGTATCACACGCTAAACGCTCCGGTCCCCGCTGCGGAACAGCGTCGAAACAGCGGCCCGCGGGGTCTACGTCATCGTATATCCGTTGTCGGGTGACGATTCACGCGCGTGCATATTAATAATTATACCGACAGGAAGTATCACTCGGTATACGCGGCGGCCTGTCAATACGATGAAGTAGTGTAATATTATACATTATTATTATTATTGTACACAATATTATATTATGCGGTAAATCGTCTGTATAATAATACTCGAGGTACCTATACAAGCGCGCGCGTATACACAGTAGGCGGTTTCCCGTTTAGTACCTATACGCGACATCCCTCGTCCTCGGGGCGGACCCCGGCCCGGATAACGGCCTCGCGTTGACGTGCGTGTGCGGTCCGGAAGAAGAAATATAATATAACGTCATTTCACGTGCGACGCGAAACCCCCGATGTTACACGGCGCGAGTGACGACAGATTTCGTCTCGCATGTGTACACCGCGATAACACACTAATAATAATACGCTTCGCTGTGAGAAAATAATGTTTTCTTTTATCGTTGTTTTTTTTTTCGCCCGGCTGATGGAGAAAAAAAACGTCTTATAATACATCATATATGCGACGTATACCTATATATACATGTAGTGTAATAATAACGATAATGCGGTTTAAATATCGAGAGAAAAAATATGTATACATTGTAACAATAATGTACACTTAATTATTATTATAATATAATTTACGTACGACAATATTGTGTCCTGCGAGAATCCCGCCGAAACCCTCCGCGTGCGCGTCGAAAATATAACGGAAAACTCCACACTAGAGTCGCAATATCAACTGGGATGTTACAGGGTTTTTATGAAAACGTTTTCAACGCGGATATTATCAACAATAATGATAATTTAAAATGTTCTGACCGACTCGCTGATTTGTCATCGCCCAACCCAAACCATTGGACCGGTCGGGTTGAAGTTTGGCATACAGATATAGCAATTATGACACAGGCACCCGCTATGAAAATATTTTTTGAAAATTCAACCCCTAAGGTGATAACATAAGGGCTCTTAGGTATTTTTTATAGGAATATCTAATTGTTTATTTCTTTATTTTTCGATTTATAGGTTACCTTGGTGACATCGATGACAATTTGGTTGTCACGGATAAGAAACCCATTATTATTATTATTATTATTGTTATTACTATATTATTTACACTAATATCTAACAATAGCAAATAGCATTGCCGGATCAGCTAGTATAGTAATAATTTGCTTGGGTGTATAATATTATGTTACGTTCAAAATAATAATAATATAATCTATTGTTGTTGTGCAATTTTTAAAATTAGTATTCATATAATGTCCTTATTTTTATGGAACTCAGTGCACTTATACATTATGAGTGAAGCGAGGAATGTATTTGGTTTTATAATGATGTTTATTTTTTTTTATACATATCGTGTACAAAATGTCTTCTAGAAACCTTGCTCAAATCAAGACATGACAAGAGCCCATTTTTGTTGCATTTTGGCTCTATAAGTGGTACTTTAGAAAGATTTTGATATTCTCATTAATATTCGAGAAACTGAAAAAAAACTGGTTTTTAAGTTGAACAAGATTAAAAGATTACAAATAAGGTTGTCATTGGCAACTGCTTTTATTTACTTTTTGTTATTATTTTAATATTTTTTAAACAATCGTTGTTGTGAAAATGCACATTGTTGAAAAATCAATACTCTTGACCGAGCTCCGACTAGAATCGTTTTTCGTGAGCAATGGTTAATCGCTTCATACCGGTATAATTTAAATTGTCATCTATATTCTATACCTTCCCAACTTCTCACCTATTAAAGTAATCCACCCATGGTACGAAGTATGTACGTCCGGTTTTTTTTTTTTTTTTTAATCATTTTATTTTTGCGTTCACAAATACAACTATATTATATTTTTTTTTTGTTTTCCTGAATAAGACGTTATAAGACGTTCCTGAATAAGGCCAGCAAAGACTTGCTCTTTTTAAAAAGCTTAGTAAAATATTTTTTGGATAATAGGATTTAGTGGATCACAAACCAAATGTCGGAGTATTTCCGTAAGATTCAAACAGCTGGAGTGGGCTAGCTATGGTTGATGGGATGACTACCGGTCTTATACGGAATATCTTGGCTAGAAATCTAACCAAAAATGGCGACTATAAGGAAAAATTTTGAAATCGGTGGTTTGATAAGATAAAAAAAATATATAACAGATATCAATAATTCGACGAAAACGGAATATGAAATTTTTAGAGGAGTTTGGTAGAAATGTGCAAAAGGCATCAATAGTCGATACACCATGGACGGATGCGACCACTGTTATAGGTGGAAAGTAGGAATGTAGGATATGGAGGAGAATTTAATTTATATCTGTACACAGTGATTAATTATCACTAAAAAAACGATTCTGAGTGGAGTTTGATCAATAATACCTATTGCTTTTTAAACAAAGTCCCTCGCTTTACTTAGAATTTAAAAAAATTAAAGAAATTTTTTTTTCTTTTATATTCTCATGAATTTTAATAAATAAACCGTTCACTTTTCAAGAATTTATCTAGAACGGATCTGCGGAGAAACGTATTGGAATTTCGTTAATTTATTCATTATTGGAAGAACATGAACGAATTTTCTCTCGTTCCTTTTTTTCAGATATATGCCTATCCAATTTAAATAATTTGTATAGCCCTAAATATTTTTTAAACCCACATTACTAAAGATTTATCAATAATATATAATTTTATCCCAATGTTTCCTGTGAAGGACATTTACAGATTAGGCGTTTACAGAGGCGATTATATATAAAAACTCAACTGCAAAAAAAAAATAATAAACGGGTACAAATATTAATGATTTTTATTTGAAAACGAAAAATGTTCCTTATTATTTGTTAGGGACGAGGAAATGGAGTGTATACATAGTATTTTACTTTGTTAAATTCTATGTAACGAACGTGGAATTTGTTCCGTTTAAACAACGCAAACTAATTCGTTTTTAGAAAGAACTTTCCGAGTACTGAATATTATATAATAATATACACCGTAGTCGTCGTCGGGTTCAAAACTCCATTTTTTTTTTCTGTTGAAGCCCGGATGTTTGTACATACCGCGGTACGGCATCGTCATACTTACGGTTGTCGCAAAGAGCTTTTTTATATATCATAGCAAAAGCCTGCGTAATATGGTATGTATTCTTCAGCGCGGTTTTCCCTCCACGCACGTATAGGCTTTTCCACTGTACATAATATACCTAAGTGGCGGCCTTTTGTCGGTCCAAACGGTATACAATACGGGCCGCGTAGGTAGGCGGGTACACAGCGCGGGTACCTATATACATTATTATTATACAGGGGCGGGGGGGCGACACCATAATATTATTTCGTATTATAATATACGGTGCAATATAACGCGAGCCAGCCATTGATGTAATTACCGCAGCACAGTCATTCGGAGAGCGGAATTAGCATTAAAAAACAAAAAAAAAAAAAAAATACTCATATACACACATATATAATAATAATAACAACGCGTACCGCCGCCGCCCGCTACGCGCGTGCAGTGTATGCCCATAAGGGTGTTGACACGAGCGGGCGCTGCGGCGGCGGCGGCGGCGGTGGTGTTGGTTACAAAATGGCCGAGTTCACGAGCCGCAATTTGTATTCCGGCCGCGCGCACCATTACCGGTGCTTCCTGTGCGCGACGCGGCAGCCCACCGCCGCCGCCGCCGCCGCCGCGGACCTCGTGTGACCCGAGAGCCGCGCGCAATACAATAACGCGTAACGCGAGCGCGTACGGTGTACGGCGGAACACAATCGCCGCTGTGTTCGCCGCGCGTGTGCACAATACGATATCGTAACATGGCGTACGCGATTATCATCCGATAGCGTATATGTGTACCTATACCGCCCCCGCGTTCGCGTATTACGATTATTAATAGTATTGCACCGCGTATTACAATATTTATTGTTATGCAGGCGCTATACGCCATTCGCCGAACACGAAAATACGCGATGATCGGTATTTACGACTATATTCGCCGCCGCCGTTTGTTTGGTTTAGAGGCGAACTGCGGTTCGTTATGCTTTCCTCCACCACCCTTCCCCGTCGTTTTCTCGTATTTCTCTTGTGCACGCGTACCTTGCGCGCCCGTAATACGCGCCCGTAATCGCGTACGATAATATTCGTGGCCGTCGTCGCGTACGGCGCGAGTTTGGGGCGCGCGCGCGTGCGCTTCTGTTCCGAACAAGAAAAACACCTAAAAAAAAAAAACCCCCTCGAAAATGCCGTCGGACACGCATCGCTCGGTATCGCATCGCGCTTTCGAATTACACACCGCCCCGCCCTTCCCCACCCCACCCTCGCCCTACGAAGTCTGCCCGATATAATGTATAGGTGCACCCACCTACATAGATTACGATCTGGGCGCGCAGCCCGACAACAACGGCTCGTATATACGAAATTGTAATATTGTTGCGTTATTACGATCGCATTGTAATGCGCAGTGGCGAAATTACGCGCCGCACGTAATACGCCGCAGTAAACAAACTGCCCAATTACACGACCGCCGAAACCACGTGTACGCGAGTTGGGTACGTGATATGCGTGTGCCGACCGCGATTGGTTATCTCCGACGCGGCGGTGGCGTATTTATATAGGATTCCGTCGACGGGGCGGGCGTTCACGTGTCGGCGAAATTATATTCGGTCGACCCCCCCCCCAAGCCACCCTAGCGCCACCCCCCCCACCGGTATACGTCCTGTACGCAGGTAAAGGCGTGTACACGCTAACCAGCTGGGGAAATATTCGAATTCGCGATAGGCGCGGCAGTGTATAGGCTCACTGCGGTGTACTTGTAATAATCATATTGTGCGATTATTTTTCGAAAGCGCGTTCGCGAAGAAAATACGAAAAAAACCTACCCCCGAAGCGATTACAAAGGTACAAAACACCAATATTATACTGCACAGGGTGCCACGCGATAAACATTTTAACCTCCGTCTGTTGTATATTTATTAGTTGCCGTTTGAAAATCAAAAGTGGAGTGGGAGGGTAGACGGTTCACCCCCTACCCCCGAAAATAAGGACGACCAAAAGTAAAGTTTTGAAGCACCCTCATTTATACCTGAAATTTTTAAAACATAATAATTTCCGAAAAAAGTTTTCGTTTTCGCTTCGTGCCGGACATCCTTCATATACAAAGTCGTAGTAAAAATATTTATGTATGCAGAACAATATGATACTATTTTCGAGTGAACCGCTTCGTCGTAGAAACATAGGTTTTGAAAATATTTACGGTTATTTTTTTTGAAGAGAATTCCTACATTACCATTATTATTACCTATACGTTTTGTTTGGTGTTTTGTGTAAAGCGCGTCATAAACCGCGGAATTCCGTTTGAAATAATTTGTATAAAATATTTTTAAAACGATAACTCGTCCATTTCACAGTGGGTAAACTTCGTGTTTTTACACTACCGAACTCGTCTGCGCACTTTCGAACTAACGACTCGTCCGATAATGAAATTTGCATATATTTGTTCGATGAACAATATAACTGATAACGGTTTGAATGCGGACGTTATGCGTATAGGGGAAAAACAACACTTTGAACTGGATCCGTCCCTCGCATCGCCCCTGTCTCCCATAAATCCATAACGTAAACTGTAATTTAACCGTTAGACACGTCCCATTCCGAGCGAATGTTCTATCATGTATCCATTGTATCCTCGTCAAGAGGGCCGTAAAGCGCGTTACTTCGGGGTTTATGTCACCGCGACACTATTGTATTGTTGCGCGTATGATCCTCGCGTACAGATTTCGCGGTGTTCGTCGGCCGCGGGACACCGTAAAAAAAAAATAATAATAATAAGGGGTGGGGAGTGGAGTGGTGATTTTTTTTTTCTTACAAAACAGTCGCGGTTTTTACGCGAGTCGTAAAAAAAAATAATTTCGATATATTTTTTTTCCCCTTTTTTTTGCGAACAACGTTACGACGATGTATATCATATATTATCGATCGCGCGAGTTCGCCAGTAATATTTACAATTTATCGTTCAATACACTGCTTATTGGCGCGTAGCCACGCGAGCAGTCAACCCCTTCCCCTCCGTAATCGGTTGTTCCACACTCCACGAACAATTTTAAATCGCACACAATCGTTTGTATTGGCATGATTTTTTTTTTGGCCGGCGAAAAAAGTTTAAGCTTGCGGAACATAACTCACGTTTCAATTGATAACGTTTTTTCGGGTTTATACTCAATTCGGGTAAACCAGCTGAACGCGGTACCCGTCCCGCCGTCGCTTCTGATGACGTGTCCATACCGCTGTATACAGGGTAGGATTTTGTACTAGCCGAACATAATTTGTATAGATAGATATTCGATTATTCTGTTTTCGGATTTTAAATCCGTACGCGTTCTGGTGATCAATTTTCGTACTAGAAAACATGGTTTTTTGTGCGTCGGGAAACACTTTTCTAGAAATAGAATTCATTCGAATAAATCAATTTAAGCGTGAAATGACGGGACGATGTCGCGCATAGAACAAATAAAAATCACCATGTATAAACCGTAAATTAAGTGACGCGGCGGTTGACCAAAATTATATTGATAAATCAACATCACACACGCGTGTGTGTTGGGTAACGGTCTCGGACGGATTTCGCGACCTCGGGGAACTGTATGGAAGAAAACAATAAATTTATTTCGAAACGCATAAATATCAAATTAATATAATCACGTAACAATGTCATATAATTCACCGACGCGTCATCGTCATAAGTTATAAGTTCTTTGGTAATTTGGCTTTTTTTTTTTCCTGTACATATTCCTATACGCGATAGGTAGTATAATAATATAATATAGGTATATTATATTATGCAGTTGGTTTTTTTTTTTTTTTTGGCACCACGGAACATTACCAGAAAGACCGGTTGCGGTATACACCAAAGTAACCCACGGGCGTCGGATCGTTATTTATACATGTTTGGTATCAATTAGCACTCGGTGGGACGGTGCTAATGCGCGTTGGTCGTCTTTTTTTTTTATATACGTATTTTTTTATTTTATTTTTTTTTTCTCTACGCGCTCAACACGATTACAATATTATTATTATTATATTTTCGGGGTATCGGCGAACGGCGGTTGTCGGTAGTTGCCGCGTAGTGCGTATGAAACCGCGGCGGCGGCGGCGGCGGTGACGACGTGTTAAACACAAAAGAAAACCGAAACACAACTATTTAGGCCACGGCAATAATAACCGCCGCGACGATGTATAATAATAATAATAATAATAATACACACGCTATTATTATTACAACTGTCATTACGACTACTATAATACAGCAGAGTTTAGACACTGTATTGCCATAAATATTCCGCCGCTACTACGCGATATAATATTGCATTTCGTATATAGTAACGAGTGGTTTTTTTTATTTTTTTCCGCCCACCAATATTCGCGCGGCGTCCTTACCGTTTCGCGGGATGAACGACCGTGTTTTCCGTTTACGTTTGCCGCGTTGCCGTTCTCGGCGTTCGCGGAACAATCATCGTGACGACAGTGGTCCGGGGCCCGAAAGACCGAAACGTCACCGGGAAAAGTACATTCAGGGCGACCACGCGCCGCGAGGCTCGGGTATAGTGTCGCCGCGGTGAAGGGCGCGGTTCGCGTACACGGGACGGAACGAAAACCGGTGATAAACCGCAACAGAACCGACGCGTTTCGCGTTCAGAATCTTCAGAAAAAAAAAAAAATCATCGATTAACGCGAAGTTCGCGGCGTCGCGCCGTTGCAAATGCGAGTTCCGGTGTTTCGGGCCCGGACGGTTTACATCACGGACTGTGCGCGTGTTGTGTAACGCCGTAGACGAATTCGTCGCGCCGTAATATTCCGTTGTCCTAACGTAAAGTCGGGTACGTCCGGCGACCGACCCGTCCCGGTCCCACTCGGGTCAACAACGTACCCGTACTCGAGGCAAAACGCTAATGATAATTTAACGCGCGCGCCGCCTCCGCATTAACAACCGGCAACAATACCATATCGTTATCGCTGCGTAACGGGGACTTTGTTCGTATTCGACCCGGAGGTTTTTCCCGCACTCTCTTCCCGTCCGTCCCCGCGCGACCGGGCCGCACTTCTCGTCCGTGCCCCGTTCTTCGTGTTGTACACTCCCAGTCCGCGGTCTTTTGCGCACGCGCGTTCGAATCCTGCGTTCGAAACGCGTCGGTCATTCGTTATTTACGTTCAATCCGCGTTGAATCTCGAACGTTTCGCGATCGGCGCGTCCGCGCGGCGATATTCCCAACGGTAATCCAACGGTCCGCCGGGTCGTCACGTATGGAGAGCGGAGGCCCGGGCATTATACGCGAGGTGGCGACGTGACGGGAACCCGAGAGAAAGCCCGAGATATCGGTGGAAGCGAGACCCGAAGCCCCCGGGAATGGGAGACACGACGAGCGGCGTAATGTGAACGGCGACGGGGGTGGGGCGGGAGGGTGGCCTACCGGGCCCGGAACGAGCCAAAATTATTGCTCGTTATTACCCGCGCGGCGCCTTTGCGATAACACAACACCGACCGAGTATTTCGATAATAACATTCGTACGGCCGAGAGTGTATACGGCGTTATAACGCGACGACGACGTGGAGCCGGTTTTCCGGACACCCACTCGTCTCTCGTTCGCATTGTCCGTGCAGTCAAAGTCGTCAAAATCGGCCGTCCGCTATAACACCGAACCCTCGCCCCGCGGCCGCCACTCCGTCCATTATCGCGGCTAACCTCTGCGACCGTCCCGAGGTCATCATGCGTTATTATTATCGTAAGTCGTCGTCGTCACGGTGTCGTCGCGCAGTATGTATAAAAAAAAAAAAAAATAAATAAATATTGTTAGGACGGCCGCGGCTCCGTTTCGTTGCGCGGTGCGCCCGTCCGACCGGAGATAACGTCATTACGCGGGCGCGCGCGTCGTCGCCGGAACACTCCTCGGTCCGCGGGGCGGGGTCCGGCCCCGCGGAGCCGGACATCAATCAAACGGGCCGGACCGTTGACAGGCGCAAAACAAATATCATCGCGGGCCGCCGGTGCCTTTTGAAAAGCAATATCAATTTAGATTGGCTATTCACGGGGCCGAGCGGGGCGCGGGCGCGCGCGCGCGTGTGGATAATAACGTCCATTAACGCGCATTAACGCACGCGACCGCACCGCCGCGCCGAGTCGTGGAACGCCGCCGTCTTCCTGTAATAAATAAACGGCGCGTTCGTAATAAACGGCGAAACGACGTCGCGGCACTTCGCGACGCGTGCAACGCGATCGGACGCGCGACGACGTATGCTATTGGATTCTGGAGCGGTGCTCGGGAGAGCGTATTGGTTTTGCGACGGGTCCGTTTTTCGGTTTCCGCGAGCACCTCTGACCGCCGCCCGTTGATGGTGGGGGGGGGGAAAGAGAGGCTCGCCCGTACAGGTACACCGGACTCCCTTCCGTGTCCCGCCGCCGCGGCACCCCGACAGTGGCGCTGCGCCCGTCCTTTTACAATCGAACGCGCCGCGACCGTCCGGGTTCTCGTACTGCAGATTCCGTCGCTTCGGAGACATTGCGCGAAACCCGAGACTCCGTGTTTTCCCCGGCCCCGCCGCACTGTTATGACACGTGACGAAAACAGTAACACACCGCGCGTTCGTAATTATCCGGCGTCCGTTCGCTCTGTATACACTTGTATGTGTGTATACATATGTGTGCCTAATGTACGCGGCATTGCATTAAACGGGCGCGCCGTTATTTTAACGACAATAATAAATTACGTCGGCGAGTCGTTTTTCAACTGTTTTGTTTTGTTTTTCATCGTAGCGTCACCACGCCGTCGCAGTCTTATTAAGATTTTAAATTGAAAAAAATACCTACGGGCGACGAGAGGACGCCGCGCGCAAACGTCGTTTTCACGGGCCGTTTCGAGACGTTCGACAATTCATCGAGTCGGCTCATCACGCGCGCGCCACGACACGTCGCGACGTTTGCTTTGGATGTCCGAGCCAAATGAGTTATCGGCACATTTAACCAGCTCCGCCGGCCCGCTGGAAGGGCACTATTTTCGTACGCGGTGAAAATCTGTTTGTTTTTTTTTATTTATTTCGGTTTTCGTTTGACGCCCGTTAGGCGTCACGCGCGTTTTTTTTTTCGTCTCCGTCGCGTATGCGTGCGACGAATTCGCGTTCGGCAAAACCGATTGCGCGGCGGTAAAGTGAAGAGCCGGCGAACGTTCTCTACTGTCGACGTACTGCGCACCGGGTGCTGTCGGTTATTTGTCGTTATTTTAGTTTTCAAACAATACGGACGAGCGCGTTTGGTACCGCGGACGACGTTTGCGTCGAAGTTTGAAATATCGGAGGGCGAAATGATCGACAATCGTGTGTACGAACGCGGCCGGGAACGTTCGTCCGGTCAACGTTTCAAAGGCAAAGTTGTCCCCGACGAACGCGAACTTTTGTACATTTGATCCGCAAACGCGGAAATCAGAATCAATCGATTTACGGACAATATCAATGGGCGCTCTCTAACACAATATAAAGACCCGGAAAGGCGTATCGCGCTTCGACGAGTATTGCGACTCTCCGGCCGAGTTCAGCGCAAAGGAATTGTAGGTATTAAGGTGAATATTTTTGGTGTGCGTTGACCGAATAAATTTGTTTAATGTTCTAATGTGATCGACAAAAAAAAAAAATATACATATATATAGTAATAAATAAATAAATCGATCGGAGAGTCGCAATCGACGAATTTTCGACGGGAGGCAATATAGACGTGTACTATACGTGCTGCAATATAAACTAGTGGATAATAATAATCGCGGACAAAATCGTAGTATTTTGGGTCGCACTCGAGCTTTTTCCCTCGCGATTTGGTTGAAATCTTATTACGTGTATAAAAATCACGCGCACGACGAGTTTAGGTGTGATCCACTCCAAAACTACTCAACCGATTTTCACAAGATAACTTGTGCGGTGATTCGGTCCAACTTAAAATATACGAATGTCTATCTGATTGTTTGTGTACATTTATTTATTTATTTTTGTTGATTCGCGTGTTACCTTAGCGATAACAGATGATAATTTGGCTGTCGCGGACAAGAAAACTGCTATTATCATTACTACTGTTATAATGTGTACGCTATTGTGTCTAGCGAGATAGCAAAGGATTGCCAGGTCAGCTGGTATAACATACCCATTAATTACGATTTCAAAATAAATACTCGTATGGCCGTAGTTGTATTTTTAAGTCGATTAAAGAAGAGGGGGGGGGTCGGGGATAAAATCCCTAACCTCCTCCCTCCCTCTGCGCGCGTCGCCGGTGGAACGGGTTACAAAGACACGCGGGACAGACAGAGATGACGAAACGTCGGCGCAGTCCCCTTAAGAACGAAAACGTTAAACGACACACGGGAGTTATTATTATTATTTTCCTCCGCAATATCCGTTGACAAACCGACGGCGGTTAATAATAATATCGCAGCCGTGTATTCCGACTGTACGACTGCCGTTCGCTGCCCATTAATATGTCCTCGGCGCGCGCGTTATTTTAAGGACTTCTTTCGACAAATCGTTAATACGCGCGAGTCGGACGTTTTTACATTTCAACTTAATTTATAACAATAATTACTTAATCGCACCGTCGTTTAACGCCGCCGCCAACGTCCGACACGTTTGTCTCGACTTGTACCAGCGTCGTCGTCGTCGTCTTCACGTGTTGTTGTTTTTCGTCATTTCTCTCTCTGTCTCTCTCTCTCTCTCTGTAAACGTAAACAAGAATGCTACCGCGAGACCTCCTTCGTGGCACGGAAAGCAAGCGAATATTTCAATTCAGTCCGGTCGGTATATATATATATAAGGGGTGACGGTCGTCTCAGATCTTAAATCATATTTTTAAGCCGTATACCCCCTAGCACACGCGCATTTAATAATACGTATATAAATGTACGGGAGAGCGCGACCATCCGCGGGAAAATCGGTAACAATACACTGCTCCCCCTCCCCTACAAGTACAAGTATGATATTTTATGTCCGAATGCACAATCTGATTGCAATCCGTACGATTAATATAGCCAAAAGGTCACACAAAAGTTAGCACAACTCGCGAGTTCTTATTTAATTGTACTCTTTTCCCACATTTCGGTAAATATTGTACGGGTGTTAACTCAACGGTATTATAACCGGACGAGTTTCCTTTGGTCGTATTTCGATAATACTTTTGAATTTGTGCTCATCGCAACCGTGTTCTCATTGTCGGAGGGAATAATATCGGCAACTCGGCGTGCATCGATTAACTCGGTTACTGAAAAAAGAAAGTAACTTATACCGTACGAATCGAGCAACTTACGCTCGGCTTTGGGTATTGCGCGTGCATATACTCGTATATTATATCCAATCATATTGCGCTGTAGACGAGAAACGAAAATGAAACGACGACACGCGTATGCCTGCCTGCGTACGTATACGCGCGTAGTTTTATTTGAACGCGATTGCCTCACTCGGGTGCACGCGTTTCGGACGATCGCTGCAAATATCGTAGACTCGCGTGAAATATAATTTTAACAACAATCAGTCGTATACACGATCGTTGGCGGCACAGCGAGCGGGCTTTATAACGGCAACGTTCTGGCATAAACGCGAAACGCACGTACGATAATTATAAACAATCACAATGAATACCGTACTCGCGCGTCGGTTTTCGTATTTATCGCGAGGGCATAAAATAATATAATGTCGCGGTTACCATACATTGCAGTTAAATCGCTGGTGATAGATGCAGAGACGCTCGTTAAGTGATGTGTACTTTTGTCGCGCGCGTCATAATCATTGTAATATCATTGATGACGAACAGTGGCTGCAGCGGCCGTATTGTGCAACAATAGTTATTACCGTCGGTATTGTAAAAAAAAAAAAAAAAAAATGAAAAAAGAGAGTTCGCAATGGTATTTGAAACCCGGTATTGCTTGTGAAAACGTCCAGCGTATACAAACGGTTGGGAATGGGTTCGGTGGTTTAAATCCCCAAAGGGCGTACACTTGATACTCACACCATGCATATACTGCAGAATTGCACATCCCTTGCTTCATTTTGGCAGTCTCTAGTCTCTATAATTCTGTCGGGGCGTACAAAACTAATAAAACATGACGTTTGATGATTTCAATCCACGTTGAAATTCGACTGAAATGTATTTTACCACTTCAATCCGCTTTAATGTTCAACTGTGACAATAGTCAACAGCAGACGAAAAAAAAACACGTCGGTTTCGAACTATACAGAACGGCATAAAATATTTACTTTACGATTATTCGCATACAGCGAGTCCCTATACTTTCTTATCGCCCTTAACACGTTTCGAGAGTACCTATATAGTCCAAACTCGGAAATTTTCGATTCCAAGTGGAATCGAGAAAATTTAACGGTTTACGAATCGTTTTGTGGAACGATGTATATTATTGAGTTATGCCCTAACCTAGTTTTCCGAGTCGGGAGATGGTTGGACAGCGGCGGCTGTTACATAGGCCGAGGCTGGGGGTCTGAAGCTGACGTTCTTAAATCCACATTTTACACCACTACTGTATGGTCATGTTGCTCGATTCGTTTTAAGGTTCGTTACACAAACTAGGATTCGATTAGAAAACGGTTTATTTAATATATAAGTGCGTTTTCGAGGTATACATTACGTATACACGAACATTTTATTTGCGTGTGTTTATTAATTTGCGTTTTTTTTTTTTTTTTTTAAGCCGCGTGTCGGGAAACTCCTCTATACACTCGGTCGACGAGGCGCTTGTTTCCGACCCGCTTTAAAAAAGAAAAAAAAAATCCGATCGGTCACGGTCGCATCCGTTTCTTATGAATTTCGGTTTTTTTTCTTCCGTCCTCCACGAGTATTGCCACCGCCGTCTGCGTCCTACAGGGTGTGTGGCAACTCCACGCGATTAGCGACGGCCCGGCGGCGGACGGACGCGACGTGCGCAAACAAAAGGAAAACCTGTGCGGGCGGCGGCTGCGACGCGGAATCGCGATTTAACGCCGCGCGAGCTCTTCGCGGGCGGTGGAAATAAAGAAAAAATAGTAAAAAACAAAACTGTTGGCGCGCGACTAACTACCGTCGTCGTAACAGTATAACAACGTGTACGGTCTGACCTAACCGCAACCGCGCGCGCGTTTCGTTCCCCAAAACGTTGACCAGGCGGATCCGTATTCGCGACTTAGAGCCGTTCTCGGCAACGCGTAAAAAATAGAAAAAAAAAAATGCGTCTATCTGATTCTTAAACCGATTCTGTGGCTCTGATAGCCGAGAAAGAAACCCGGGCCCGCGGCGGACTTTACGAATTACGGTTTCGCCGCGGCGTTTGAAGGACCCACGTAACTAGCCGAACGCATCCCTCTAAGCGACCGCGTAATTAACACGGACGAGAGTTTTCGCATCCGATTTGTCGGTGAAATCGAAATAATATTGATTTTAATTTCACGAAACGGTAACCGTATTTGTACGCGCTTTGCGAAATTTCGTGTACAATTTCGTCGTATGAACTCGGTGAAATGAAATCGATTTTTATCGATTATATTTTATTATCGGAATATTTCTTTTTTCGCCGACCTACGGTAGTCGGATAAAACTAAAACCTATTTTTTTTAATATACGGTCAAATAAAACGATCGACATAAATAACCCACTGTCGAGTCGCAATGGTCGTTTGAATAATATTCACATTTTTTATTTTATTTTTTTTTTCTGGTATATAAAATGTCTACCGAACGAGATAGGGATCGTTGTTATTATTAGGTGGGCAGGTCCTCGGTATAATGCATTACAGAGTGGGGCGTAATAACATAGTAGTAACTCCCTACAATTATTAGGGTTTGTACCCTGCAGGTCACCACCTCGTATACTTCCTATAGGTTAGGATAGCCGGGTAAATGCAGTTGAGGGTGCGGCCAGCAAGAACGGGTCATATCAAGAGCAGAGATATATTTGAAAAAAAAAATAAAATAAAAACAGTTCGACACAAAAACTGCCAGTTTTTTTATTCCAGGAAACTCTGCGATGTTAAATTGTTGAATTCCGTCGTTGTACGGAACGGAAATGTATGAACTGAAAATCCATTAAAAAAAAAAAATAATAATAACAATAATAAAAATCACAAACGGTAGAGATATTTCAATGTCCCCACTCTAATGAGATTGAATTGTACGAGAATAAAGTAATGTTTGAACGATATATTGTACGTATCGTAAAAAAAAGGTCACCCCTGACGTTTTTGTTTTTTTTTTTTTTAATATTTCTTAGGATCTTTTTGACGTTTTCAAACACTCGCGTATCTCGGCTCCGTCCGCCCGCCCAAAAACACGAACGGATACCGCCGCGAATACATTATTATTGTACAAGTGAATTATTACGTTACGCTCGTATCGTCGCCCGTATTACAGGTAAATCCCGCGGGCTCGCCGATCGGTCTTTCTCTAGCTCGTAAAATATATTGTAATGCGCCCGGACCATCCGGGCGGGGGCGACAGGAAGCGAGATAATACCCGTGACGGCGGAAACGCGCCCGGCGGACCGTCGCAGCGAACCCCCGCGGGACCGCTGCCGCTGCCGCCGCCGCCGCCGCCGCCGCCCGGAACCAATAAGTCTGTCGGCGCGGAGACGACGCAAATGAAGAGCTATCGGCGGCGCGCGCGACCCCTAATGAGCGCCGGAGGGATAAGACTATTATGTAATATATTATTATTATATACGCAATACGTCCGCCGTCCCGCGGGTATATTTATTGGCGTCCGTAAATTATCGCCGCGGGCGCGACGAAAGACGCGGCGGACGGTTTTCGGGAAGAGGAGAGAGAGAGAGAGAAAGAGAGAGAGAGAGATAGAGAGAGCGCGCGCGCGCCCGCTCTATGCGACACCGCCGTGCATCAGCGTCCGCGCCGCGGAAACGCCGTCGATTCCTATCCCTTAGGGAAATAATATCGCGGACGTGATGACGGCGACGGCGACGACGACGACCCGCGATTTACTCGTGTTTTCGCCGCCGTCTCCCGGCGTCGTCATCACGTACCGCGGCGATTTCACGAAATTTCACGGGCGGGCGGGATCGCTGGAATATACAAAGTCGAAAATGTAATCCCGGCGGAAAAAGAAACGAAATCCGGTTTTAGGGATACGCCCGACAAGGATAACAAATCGCCGCCGAACGTAAACGCTTACCGCGCACTCGGTTTTCCCGCGGATTTTCGCGCCTTTGTGCCGTCGACGACGGCGAAAACCGCCGCCCCGGAAGGGGGCGCGCGGCGGACAGCAAACGGCGCCGGCGCGATATCATTAACCCGACGCAACCGCGCACTGCCATACTTTCGGCAAGCAAGGGCGGCCGAGTTCCGTGGTTGTCACCGGTTTGTTTGCGGTTTTCTCGGTCGATTCCGCGTTTTCCGTTACGGTTTTATTTCGCGAAATCTGTCGACACTATGTATACTGGCGACGGGTAATAATGGGATTGTGAACGGTGTTTTTTTTTTTTCATTCGCTTATCTACTCATATTCGTTCGATCGTTTTTCGATTTAAATAATTACCCACGTTTAATAGGGGGCGGGGGGGGGGCAAACGAAATTTCCGGGCAGTGCTATCGCTATTGCTCTGCCCCCTCTTCCCCCCTGTCGTATACCCAACCGGATTCGACCACTGGCTGTATATTCGGACCGCAGCGAGTTCTTCGGGAGGCGATAGGTACGAACCGCAGCGTGTACCGGTATGATTTCGCGAGATTTTCAATTTTTTGTTTTTTTCGTCCCCACGCGAACGACGCTGTTGTCGCTGTTGTTTTTGCGCCGTCGCCGCACTCGGTTTTGCCGGGAGCGAGCGCGCGCGCGCCCATTGCGAACACGCGTCCGCCGCGCTGCCGCTGGTCGCTGTCGTCGCCCCTCAACATCAGAGTGTACAGTGACAAGCGACACGGTGTTTTGTGGCGGCGGCCGGCAACAATGTCACGGAGAGCGCGCGCGCGCGCGTCCGCGTCAATGAATGTACCGACCCGGTGTAGTGGATGTACGGGCGTATTGTAATGTGTGCACACCTATATAATAATATAATACGACGCTGCTGTCACTGACGCACGTAAACCACCTCGGGCAATAACGTCGGTTTTTTTTTTCTCCCCGGACTCTTTGAACTCGTCTGCCGCCGCCGCCGCCGCCGCCGCCGATCTTGTATATTATACGACACGAAATTACACCGTCGCCGCCGCAATATTATTATTATTGTTATTATTAGCCGGCGGAAATCTCTCCCGGATTCGGGCGCGTCCTTCGGCGGCGGCCGCAGTCGTCTCCCGGCGTTTTCACATTAAAAAAAAAACCTTTTTTTTTTAAATATTTTAACGGCCGCCTTACGCGAAATTTTCCGCTAATCTGTTCAGTGGCGAGCGCGGGCGGAAAGGGGTGAGTGAGCGTTAGGGGTCATTTACGTTCCACCCCGTCGACGGTTAAAACGCGAAAACATCAGTGTTTGTTTTGTAATTTAATCTAGAAACGTATAAGAGTTTCGGCCGAACTACAAGGAAAAAAAACGTTTGATTTATGTACGAACGTTTGGAAATCGATGTTTTTTTTTTTTTTTTGGATATGCCATTTCTTTTTTCCCCGAAAATTTCCAGACGATACGCCGTTGAGTCTGGTCAGGTACGGCCTTTATTACGGACGAAAATGTCTTCAGGATAATACTGATTGTCTACATAAGATTTTTCCATCGGTTTTTTTTTTTTCATTGATTTTAACAACGTTCTGCATACGCGTCAAACTCCGATTTTGCATTTAATATGTTGCATTCAACACGTGTAGTTTAAAGAGTCTTATACGCAGTGACGTGTCCAGACATTTTCAACAGTAGCGGATTTATTAAATAATCACCGCGATTTACGAATAAACCGTAGAATCTCTTTTTCGTGTAACCTGCCGAGGGCAATGATAATTTAAAGGGCGCGCATCCGAAAAAGCCAACTTGTATAATCAAATAAATCGAAAATTCTGCTTGTTTCTTGACCGAAGTCTATGATTTCCAGGTGGGTACACTTTCCAAATAAATACTCGCAGAGTTTTTGCGGTATTTTTAAACCGATGGAGGAGGGGTGTAATCCCTAATCCCCCCTCTCCCCTGCTCACGCCACTGCTTGTACGTATTTATTCCTATTCTCAATCCTACACTCGACTCGACCACGCGTATTATCAACGGTCACATAAGTGTCTCATTTTTGTTACTCCTGCTTTTTTTTTTATTTCGTCTCATCGCCGCTCGTTCGCGAATCCTTCGACCGACCCGAGCACGCGGGGACTCGACAATTCTTCTCGTTGTCTCCGTTTAAAATACTTCCGACGTTTTCGATTTCGTCCGTGATTCGGTGCAGATTGCGCCATTATTACCGTCGTGGATTATAATTATATTATTATTTCGTGTTATAATATACACGCGCGTATTTCGTGGTTTTTTTTCGTTTTCTTCCCCCGTCCCGTCTGTTATCTCGGCCTGATCTAATTGGACTACGGCGGCGGTATTGGAATAATAATATAAGCGACCTACGGATCATTGATCCTCGTCGAACCTACGTGTCACCCGCGTGCCGCACAGCAAAGAAGAACAAAGCCCCGGCCGATATTGGAACGAAATCTGAGGCGAAAAAAAAATATAAGAAAAAAAAAAAATGAAAATAAAAATAAAAATCCGACCACTTCCTACGGTATATTATAGCTGCAGCTATATAGGTATTAAGGTATACGCGCGCGCGGACGTAATAATTAATTTTTTTTTTTTTTTCGGTTTTTGTCCCGAGTTTGTTTATACGAACATTCTCTCACACAAACTCCGCGCCCGGTGAATAGATTTCAATTATCGACGGTTCGTTAGAAATCCTTTGTCGCCGACCGCGCCGTCTTTTTTTTCCACTCTTTTTTTTCCCCTCCGTCTTCTTCTTCGCTTCGTGTAAAAAATTATATATAATAATAATCATCACACACACATACACATATAGGTATACGTATGTATATACACACAATAATATATAATAACAATAATAACCGGTGGGCTCGCATTTTATAAGTTATTATCATGATAAAATATTACGTATATCGAGATGCGTGTGTGCTCTATTAACGTTATTAACGAGGTGTGTGGCATTAAACAACGCTCGCACGCGCGTTGCTTTGATAATAATATGTATACGCGGTATAATCGAAAATCGTGAAATATCCATCGTAGGTACGACGACGACGACGTGCCGCTACGATCATGATGAAAAAAAGAAAAAGAAAACCAGCGCGTGTATTGTGTCAAGTCTTATTGCGGGCTAGTAGTGCATCGTCGTCTATAGCATAGTGTAATAGCAACCGAAGACGAATAATGTTCCGTTTTCGCATTGCCGTTCTCGAAACTCTCAAAATCAACTACTGTATAGATCTATAGATCTACTAGATTACTAGACTACTATCTATATGCATTATTGTGAAAAACAAAATGGAATGCCGAGAGGGTAAATTTTATTGATGATTGAGACAGAGTGAACGATAGTGAAAATAAATCGTTTGGCCGTGTAAGCGATGTGCCCTTTAGAAGTTTAGAAGGGGGGGGGGTGGTTCAACATTCAAACATGTTCTCGACCGTATGCATGATATACGTTCGAATATTATGTTTTCAAAGGAAATACCGGGTTTTAAATAGCCCTTATTTGTCAAAGTAAATAACGGGGTTAAAATCTGTATAATACATATTTATATAAATAGCGAGTTTTTCACGAAATATTCATCTTCAAACCCCCGCCCCGGTCGCTCCTATTTCGACAAAACGTTTTTCGTTCGATTCCTCGTTGCTGCCGGCGGGTAACAGCTGGATACTTTACGCCCGACGGAGAGGAATAGTGCATAGTAGACCCGCCGAATCTCCCGTGTTAAGGACGGGCCTTGTCCCCTGGCCTGGCAGTTTCATTTCGGGCCAAAGTTTGGTTGCCAACGGTCGATTGGTTGAATAAAGCATTCGGTACAGAAATGAAAACCTACGCTAACCATAATTTTGGAAATGAAACGGGCTGTGTGAGTTATTGGAGTTCTCTTAAAATGTGTTTCGCCTTATTATAAATTGTTCACCGAGCAGATCCTATGCACAGACCTATACCGCAGGGGTAGACGCGGGCGTCAAACGTATATAAAAAACCCGTACAAAAGGGTAAAAAAAAAAAAATGAAATAAAATGTCTTTGGAAACGCGCATTAAAACTATATGGCGACCGTAACAATTAGATCCGTAGATCAAATTTATATATATACATGAAAAAAAGAAAAAACGAAATTTTCGAACGGCAACAAGTCGGCCGCGGGGGAAAATTGGTGATTCCCGCGGCGACACGGGGCTCTGCATGTTGGCCGCGGGCGTTTTACGTTTTACTTTTCATCATCTGTCGGCCGTGATACCGAATAAACACGGCGTTGCTGTCGGTTTTAAACGACGAAACATATTGCGCCCGCCCCTATCGCCGATACACGAGATCCGCCCGGTTGTGGGTGCCGGTACAGCGGCCGCCAAAGCGTAAAGCGTGAACGATTCTCCGTTAACGGGTCGGTTAAAATTTGCGGGGGGGGGCGGAGCGGGAGGGAGGGCAAACGTGAGATCGCGCGCAGAGTTTTTTTTTTTTTTTTTATATAACTTTTCGGCGGGTCTTTGATTCAATTAACGGCCTATTTTTCACGTCGCATACGCAATACACGAGTAAGTGTATGTCCGCCGGCATCCAAGGCCGTCGCGGCACCGTTTCTGCCGCTGCTGCTGCGCCTTGATTGCAGGATCCCTTGAAGCCACTGCCCAATGCCGTGGCATCCGCGGCCGAATGAATCAGCGAATTCGAACGACGGCTACGTTAACAGTAATAATAATAATACGATATTATTATGGTGTAATATACTTAGTCGTGTGTGTGTGTTACGTTCGTCATTTCGAAGGACGTCTAATACGTGTAACGTGTGTGCGCATACGACTATATTCCAATCGAATAATTAACCGCGATTGTAGCTACAGGTCGTACATATCATACGGGGGAGAAGGGGGGGGGCGCGGAAGGAGAAACGTTAATATTATTAGATAGGTAATCCGAATCGTAATTTCGTATTTCGATACCTCTCTCTGTCTCTCTCGCAGGACCCGTATTGTATACCCGCAGCGCGTCGCACGCGTATAATGTCTGCGCGTCCGCCGTGAGTAATTTCATAGGAAAAAAAAAACCCTCCGATAATTATCGAGCGCCCACAGAAAATCATAACGGAACCATATCTGAGTGTTGCGATTAACTATTACATTCGCGCATTAAAAATCGTGTGCTCGTTTGTGTTTTTTTTTTTCTCGGAAAACGTCAAATACTCGAACTTTGCGGGCCGGCGCAACACTCATCGTATCCCGGGAATACGCGTAGATTTTATAATTATTGCGACCGTGGTTGTAATTACTGAACGCCGGTCTACATTCCGGTGCGAGTTCGTACCTGTTATAAGGTCGAAATAAAAACGAATTGTCGTTGCAAACAGAAAAAAAAAATAACTGTGCGAATAACGCGTAGAAAACCGAGAAACCGAAATTTCAATATGCGTCTTGATGGACTTGGTCCTAAACCGGCGTATCGTCTATGTATTTTATAATGGATATTTAATCACTTTTGTTTTTTTTTTTTATTTTTGAAAAACCGTATTGAGCATCTAGACAGGCTGGATACAGGCACCACCTTTTAAAGCGCGCGGTGAAAAAGTTTCGGAGTAATTTTGCTACAACGAAACGTCGGCTTTTCTAGGAGTTTTTCGATATTTAAAACAAAAAAAAAAAACGATAAAAGTATATTCGTATTGCACCCGCTTCTATACACGAGTATTGTAAGTACACGGAATTTTCTCACGAGTTTTCCTCATTTGAAATCGAGTGCATAACGCTTCATTCACAGAGAAAACATTGGAATAGCAACATACATATAAATAATGCATAATATGTACGATATTATTATTACCAATGCGTTTGAAACGTATTATGTACGCGGTTTTTTAGTACGCCTACTACCGGTCCGGAGGAATTATACATAAAAAAAAAAAAAAAAACAAAACAAAACAAAACCACCGCTGTGCGCTGCAGTGTATATTATTATAATATATTTATTTTATTTTCAATTTTTTTATTGCTCGCCGAATTAACAACGTGGCGTTAATTAGAAGACCGGATTTCTCGGTGCGTAAGTATATATTATTATACGACGTGAGCTCGGCAACTCGTTCACCAGATCGCATCGCACACGTACTGTAGAAACCATTGTGACGGTTACTCGTTTTATAATATTATATCGTTCACACGAAACACATTATACGAGCTCCGTTTGGTATTTATAGCCTTTGAAATCGTCCAGAACAAGCGCTTGAACAACTGTAATTTCGAAAAAGGGCTTGAAACCCCGTTGAAATAAGCAATTTAAACATTATTATGAAACCCCTTCCTCTTATCCCTAAAAAAAAAAAAAAAAACAAATAAATAGGTTTTTTTTAACTGTGTTGTTACAAGAACATAGAGTTAAAACTATTGTGCGAAGAAAACATTATTTTGATAAAAAAATCTGAGTTTTCATCTCCTCCCCCCCCCAAAAAAAAAAAAACCGTAAAACTAGTTAAAATTATTTTCAGTTCGTATCTGCGGCATACTTCCGAACATATTTATTGAACCGGAACGGGAGGTGATTTTTTTTTTTCATACAAGCGCAATAATTATTATTATTTATTTCCATGACTTATATACCAGACAGACAGGCAACAGCAGCAGCAGCAGTCGTCAACACCGATAATATTGAATCCTGTATTTATGTTTATTGTTATTATTATTATTATTATTTTTTTTTTTTTACCGCGTGATGATTCTTTAAATTCATCAACAATTTATTATCCATTCTTTAACGTTTGTCTAATATTATATTTTGTGTGTCATAGACTCGAAGCTAATAACGTAGGAAATAATATATTATTGAGAAATAAAAAAACATAATAATAATAATAATAATCAATTAACAACTACCGCGCGGCGATGACTCGCAAACGTCATGAAACAATTTTCGTTTCCCGGCGCGCATAATGATTTACCTCCGATAAATGTCACGCTAAGTATAGTATTATTCGTGCATAATAATAATATGGTCGTGTAGTTTTTTTAGTTTTTTTTTTTTCGCGTTCCCCATTCATTTCTCTTCCGTTGTTAATTTTTAATTAATTAATTAATGTTTTACTAGCTTATTGTCGTCTCGGTGTACCGCAGTTGACGCGCACAGTATTATCGTATTGACGGGCTCGACGGGCCGTATTCAATTTCCAATATTGATTATAACCGATTTGATTGCTTACACGTTATTATTAATAAATTCTGGTTTTATTTATTTATTTATTCGATTCGAACGCGCAATCCTCGTTACACGATTGCCGCCGCACCGGGGAACGTTTTATTACTGTTTCGATATAGTGTTGACGGCTGCGGGTCGATAGATTCGGACCGAGACGAACAGCGGGACACGCGTCTAAAATAATACCCGGGACGCAAACGCACGCATAGCTGCGGCCCAACGCCCGGTATGTCGGTAACATTTTCCTTTTGTCGTTCCGGGGGAAAGTCGCGAAACAAAACGACGGTAAGACGTGGGCAGGTTTTCGGCATAGGCACGACAAAAACCTGGACACACACACACACACACACACACACACAGAACAATATAATTTAATGCGCTAGATTGTTGTTAACCGTCGTGCTGTTAACGTTGTTGTGCGCGTGCGCGTATCGCAGTATTGACGCGACCGATTCCCGTCGCCGTTGTGAGAATAAGGATCTATAAGTATCCATTGTCGCGTGCCTGTAGATTTTATCAATATATCAACGTATCCATCCCTCGTACTTGACTGACGCCTATCGGCTGTTAGCGGTCCGGTATACGCGTATACGTGTTTTACCGCGCCTACTCTCCGACAACACGTCTACTCGTCTCGAGCGACGTTTTCCTGGCGGTCGCTTCAGCCGAGCGTGGCCCGTTTCGATATTTCCCCCGAGATCTCGGTCGCTGTCGGTCGGTTGCTCGCCCTCCGTTCCCCGATTCGAACGTCTATTGCGCCCGGTACGTAGTACCCGTTTGTTGGCGTCGTCCGTGTACCCGTGTATACGCCAGCCACGTAGCCAGCCGGTTCGTGATAAAGAAAAAAAAAAAAAAAGAATCGCCCCGCATAAGTATATGGTTACGACCCGGACGAAATAAAGGTGTTTCCCGGGGACGACGCGCGGGGCTCGAGATTTCGACGGGTAAATAAAAAAAAATTAAATTATTATTACACACAGCGTTCGCGCGGGCGGCGGTGTAACCGCGGGTGCGCGTGGGCGATAGAATAAAAATATAAAAATTGTTTTTTTTTTTTTTTTTTTTTGTTTTCTGTTACGCGCAAGGTGTGCGCGACAAAGGGCGTTGAAAATGACGGGGTTGTTGTCGGCGGCGTGACCGTTATTATATCGTGGGGTGTTTTCGGCGCGCTACAGAAACGAAAGAACGAAAAAAAAAAAAAAACCGCCACCCACCCGCGGAAAAGAACACGACGCGCAGCGAGACCGCCAGGGACGCGTGTTATTACTATAATACGCGCGTGTAACAGCGTAATAAGTGCGTTGTATTTTGACACGATATTTAAGTCTCATTAGCATCGGGCGGGAATGCGTCCGCGGTGATGCGGCGGGCCGCTCGCGCATCACCGGGGCACCGTCGTCGTCGTCGGCACCGGGGAAGGTGGTACGAAAAATAATGTATAATATGATACACGGTCGGCAAACGGAGTTAATATCAACAGGCCGGCCTGTAATTACGGACGCCGCCGCCTGTAAAAAAAAAAAAAAAATAATAAAAACCTGTTGTTTTCCGCCGCTCGTGATATCGTCCGCAACACGTTTGCGCGCGCCGCTTTGCGCGCCGAGCATTAACGCGTCCGGGACGACGGTATTCATAATATTATTACATATTATTATCGTTATCGTTGTTATTATGCGCGCGTGAAAATCGTATCGTAACAACCGTGGTTTTTATTATTATGTTTTTTTTTTTTTTTATTTTTTTGAAATTTGCTTTTACCATAACCGCCGTCGATAGCCGCGGCTCCGGGCCCCTCGCGGCACACTGTTACGCGCCATTTGTGTTTCGCGCGGTTTTTTCGGCCGCGCGCCCCGTCTCCCCGACGACGACGACGCCGCCGCTTATTGTATTCGCGCGGCGTTATGATTAATTTGTGCGCGATCGGTTATTGCGGTTTCTCGTCGACGAACGTCCGCGCGCAGCGTTCTCGCGCGCGTACGCATGCGGCGGCGCGTGTTATACAGGGCGATTCGCGAACGACCGTCTGCACGCGGGTTCCGTCGCCCCGGCCCACCGGCAGACGCGGCGGGTGCCCGGCGTTCGGTACGGTCCGACGGCGGCGGGATCGGATTTAAAAGCCGGATCCGAAATTTAGTGTCTACGCCGCGCTCTTCTTATCAGCGCGCGCAAGTCGCCGGCAACAATCGGCTCGTTCGCCGTCCCCGAACGGTCTAACGGTCTCGTTAAAAAAAAAAAAACGCTCGTATTGGACACGAGTACATAATTACTCGAACGACGTTTTTAACAATGAATTCAGCATCAAACTATTCAGAGTATAAAAAGTCGCTATTTACATCCCGTTTATTTATTTATGTGTATGCCATAATAACGTCACACCCAATTTCTCGTATTCCGTATTCTTCATAATACGTGGTTGTCGTATTTTCAATTTAATGGAGGCGGGGATACATGTAACCCCAATCTCCGGTCTTGTGACCGACCCGCAACGTCCCACTAGTATTATTTATACACAGAAAAAATTTAAATCTCCGCGGATTAAATTTTGGCCGTTCGTTACGATCGCCCTGTATTCTAAGCGTTTCGTTAATAGACAATTAGTGTGCGCGGCAGACTGTTTTTTTTTTTTTTTCGAGAAAGAGAGAGAGAGAGTGCGAGGGCCACTCTCGCGCGCGCGAGCGATGTATTTTTAACACACGATCGCTGCAATACTTAGGTCCCGAGACACTGCAACACGCATAATATAATATATAATAAAGGAGCAGCTTATGATATCATCCGAACGGGAGAGACGACGGGATCGGGGCGGAGAGAGGGGAAATGATGATGTGCTGACGGGTTCATTGTTAGGGACATATATAATATTAAACGAAAACAAAATATTTATCGTCTGCGCCGCCGCTATGGTTTATAATTACCACCGCCATCGCGGAAATCCAATTAATTTATAATATTCCGGGCTCGTAGAATTCTCGACATTTCGTCGGGACGCTGCGTATATTATTATTATTATCATCATCATCATCACGTATCTCCGAGATTTCTTGCCAAGATCCGAATCGACTAGGAACAGAAGTACACACGTGATATTATTACGGTGCGAGTCGCGTTCGCGGTTTTTCTAATAAGTAATATACTCTAATAACCGACGTGTCCAATACCGTACGGTATTAGATTTTAGGAGATAAGGTTTTAGAGATTTAGGAGACTTGCACATTAACCGCTGTTGTAGACACTGTAGTTTACCTATGATTAAATGTCTACCGAATTGAATCCATCGGTCCACGAGACGAATTGACACGTCGTGTTCCACGTGGACATATATTTTACCGGCGTGGTATGAAGTATGCCGGATAAATCGGCGGTACCGGTATGTTTGATTTGTTAACTCGACATTCACTCATACCGTTACACAAACACTAGTTATTTAAACACCAGCTGATTCGGAGGATTGAATTTGATTGCCATTTTATGACGATTTTACCGTAGAACGCCATAGGCATATTCATTGGCAGTAATCGCGAATTAAACCTAGAAAAAAAATTGGGCCGTGCGTAGGATTCGCTCCGCGATCTTCGTCTAGGACATTCTTATTAATATCCCGGTCACTTTATTTTTGAGTTTACCAGCCCGTAATTTGGATAGCGGCAACCCTCCATTCGTTCGGCATTCTTGTTTTCCATAAGTTTAACTCATATAATGATGTGCAATTCGCATCCTTAATTATCTGAGTAATGTAGCTTAAGGGAGTTTTCCTCTACTGACTTTCCTTACCATTATTCCCTCAACTATATTTTTTTAAAAAAATTGTTTTGTCCGAGTGTGTTTCATCTATCATCCTGGTTCGTCCAATTTTTAACGTTTTCAATAAGCTTTTGATTTCCAGCTTTTAAGAAGACTGCCTTGTTGGTTATAAAATGTCCTATCCAACTTAAGCATTTACAAATAGCATCAATGTCCATACTTCAAACTCTAGTATACGTTTTCTTTCCGATTGTCCATGATGTTTTGCTTTTGTATAGTAGAAAACGCAAAAAAAAAAAGTTTTCAATAGGTTTTTTTTTTTCAATTTTAGATCAATTAATTGATTCATTGGGGTCTTCTTCCCGATCTGTGATTGCAAAACGAATCGTATCTATTTTCTCAATTCTCACGTTAGGTTTTTCTTACTCTATGGATCGCTGTTCGTGCATAGAGGTTAAACAAACATTGTGGTGATAATCAACACCCTCGCTTTACTCTTTTTTAAATCTCTGCTCCAATCGGACTTTTTCCGTGTAACGTATTTTTCTCAATTTCGTAGTCGTCTCTCTCCGCATAATATGTATTACTACTTGGTAATCGATTTTCTAATATTTTCAATAACTTATATTCTATGTTTACGGTGTGAAACGCTTTTTTTCTAGGTCAACAAAAGGAACGATCACCGATGTCGGCGTACCCGCTTTTTCCGTTTCGTTTTTTCGATCGATCAGCTTCCCAGCGAATAACATTATAACCACTTCTGTCGGTGCAACCTCCCGGCTTAACCGCGCGCTCGTATACCGGCCATATTTATTGTAATACTCTTGCGCGTCGTCGTCGCAATAATAATATAGTTAAGTAAAAGTGTGTGTACGTGTGTGTGAGCGCGCGCGCGCGATTGGGTGAGAGGGGAGCGGGGGTGAGGGAAATAAAAAAAAAAAAAATAAAAAAAAAATAATACTTACACGGGGTATATTTAGTTAAATATTACATTATTATTATTACAATATCGCTTCGGGGCTCCAGGTAGTAGGAGCTCCGCAATGTACGTATATAACGGTCTGCGCGCAGCTGGTTGATTATACGGTTCGGCGATGTTTGTGTGTGGCCTCCGCGCGCCCGACGCGGTCTCGGCGACTCCCTCTCCCGACACCTCACTCGGCTGCGCGCGGCACCGGGGAAATTAAAGCCGCCGCCGTCGTAAAGTATATAAAGTATATTATTGTATGTACGCGCATTCGTGTATGTACGTGTGTGTGTGTGTGTGTGTGTGTGTGTATGTGTGTGTGTGTGTATACATACATACAAGTATACCCGACTATGTATAATACACCTATATAGTGTATAATAACATCATAGATGGTTATTTTATTATTTACAACCGGCGGCGGCGGAGGCACCGAGAAAATATGACATCATTTTTACACGTAATAAATATATACATGTATAGTGTTTTTTTTTTTTTCCGTTCGTTCGTTCTTCTTTTCGTTTTTGTCCCTGGAAAAAAAAAAAAAAAACCGAGAAGAAATAATAATACCCGCGCCCGTGCAGTATTAAACCTACACGGGAGGAGTGGACGAGGGGTGGGGGGGGCGGGAAGCAAACGCACCTCCCGCACTCTCGGCGGGCTTAATGGTGATTTATCATTTGACCGGGCGGCGGCGGCGGCCGCGTGAAAAGGGAATAATAATAATAATAATATGACGACGACGACCCGGTGACGGTGCCTAAATACCCCCGGACCCTACGCGCACATACGTATTTATACGTAAGTTTACACGTTGTAATCCTTTAAATGGCCCGTAAAAGACTTATGTGTAATACAATAATAATCGTATATAATATCGATGAAAAGAAACCGCTTTTTCGGTCTCCCTGCAGCTCCGGCCGATCCCCGAACCTAATAACCTAATATACAATCTGCCTGACGCGGTCGACTGTTACAATGTAATAATACACGCTCGTTGGTTCTTAACGGCTCCTATTATAATACACGCGCAGTACATTTTCAATAATCTATACAATGTCTGTGGTTCGGGGGAAAAAGTGCTCAAGTCGATTTCGCACATAGTACAAGCGAATTCCATTTTGAAAATCACTTAACGGCTAAATTATACGTAACGGTCCAACATAAATGCAGACGTTCTAAATTCCGTAAGTCGTCTAATTGTGTTGCGACTTTTGCCTTTTTCGCTAAAGTATTCGTAATAGTAACATACAGAAGCGTAGCCAAAAGTCGGATTTATATACGCGTAGTATTTTATGGATTCGAGTGTTGAGTACGTTTCCAATTATTTCTTTCACTCCTAAAACAACGTTTTCTACACGGAACCGTGTGAAAACAGTAGCACCATGTCGGTACATATAGTCTGAATGGTTTAGCCATTCTATAGTTTTAGGTTTAGCCATTCTATAGTTTTAGGTTTAACCATCTATAGTAAAAAGAAAATTATTAAAAGAAAATATTAACGAAAATGTTATGAATACTTACTGTCTTTGTTCGAAATTCTCCCGGTAGAACGCACCTGTCAGTGAGATATCATCTGTATATGACGTATAATATATAGTATAATTACAAGATATACGCGTATGCCGTTAAAATATTCAATATTACGAGTATATTGTATTCTCGTTTTATTATAGTACCTTATAAGTTATATTTTTCAATTTTTGTTTAAGAGTACTTTATTGGAATGTGTACCGGTAAAAACACTTTTCTAAATAAATGTTTCTAGTGGGTAGAACCCAACCTAATCTCCCTTACCTATCCTCATAATTCAAGTTAAAACGTACTGAGCTCCTCCCGCGGCACAAAATTCTAGCTACGCCAATGGCTGATTGGGGATATTTTTATTTTAAATGTGTTAGAATATGAGATAGATATGTGTTCCCGACACGAGAGAAAATAGACTAAAATGGTTTGGGCATGACGTGGACAGAGAGGAATCTGAATCGGTAAGAATTGTATTGAAAATAAACGCGAGTCGAAGAAATGAGGAGGAAGTCCGAAAAAAAGTGGTTAGATGCGATTGAAAATGATCTAGTGACAGCCTACCTGTGCAAGGTGGCAAATCGGGTCAAGTGAACGTTTAAATCAAGGGTAGCCGACACTAAATAGTTGAGGTGAATGCGAAAAAGAAAAAGAAAATGCCAACGATTGTCTCAAGCTCTTCTTTCCCGGGACCAAACATAAATAATGTTCCGGAACAGGTTTGATCATTCGTCAGATGACGACGACGGCAAATAAACAATAATTTTGCATGTTATTGTGCACGCTAGATACTTATAGCAATAATTCAATTTCGGCCGCGTTAAAAAATTATGTCAAAACCCGCGAGTGGGTGTAGGAGTAACGACAGTAGTTTTTTTTATTATTATTATTATTTTTTTTTATTATTTTTTTTACATATTATCATATTTAGTCTCCGGCGATCCACACGAGATATTATACACGTATTATAAAAAGTAATGTGTAAAACGCGATCGTTAATAAGGTCCTAGACTTTCGTAATCGGCCGAATATTTGAATATACAGCAGCAGCAGCTGCGACAAAAAAAAAAAAAACAAAATTATGGGTTTTAAAACGACAAAAACCATATTTCTTCGGCTTCTCGAATACGTTGTGTTACACACACGCACACACACACACGCCATTAATGACGTGTAAGGTTGACAATTTTTTTTTTTTTTTTTTAATAACAATTTGTTACTCGCGTAGTAGTAACGGACGGACGGACGCTTTTAGCGGTGACCGCGCGGCACACTTGCAGCATTTGTATTTATATATATATATAAATATATATTTTTTTATTATTATTATTATTACGTTATTACATCGAAACGATGATTCTCGCGTCCGATTAATTGTCCGTGGCGAATTTAATCCCAAACTAATTCACCGTTTAAATTACATATATATATATAATACAAAACGCGTCGAGAGAGTGAAACGGATGCCGAGGGGAGAGTGAGAAGACGATCATTCCGTGTAGTCGGTATACCTGCGTGTATATTTTTACGTGTATAGGTATATTGTAAATTAAACGGCCACCCGCGGTGTTATTATTATTATTATTATTATTATTATTACTATTATTATTCAGTGTTTCAGCGCGCATAAAACATTCAGCGCCGCCGCCGGTAGGAGGAGAAAACGGTCATTACGCGCGTCGTCTTTTGCGGCGCTGATGATTCTTTTTTACTTCTTTTTTTTTCTACCTCGACGGCGACGGCGGTAATAACGACAATAATGATAACAATAACAGCACGTGTAATGATGATGGTCACGGTCGTCGTCGTCGTCGTCGTCGTCGTCGTTTGTCCGCGCGTACGTCGGGCGGTTACGGGGCCGCGTTATATAGAGGTGCGAATAATAATTATTGTCGCGGTCGTTGCCCAAAATTCACAAGAAATACATTCGTACACGCTGGTACGTCTAAATAATATTTTGTCGAAACAGCGTCAACCGTGAATCGCGCGGCCCTTCGACACCTGCGTAAACCTACCGAAAATCGCATCCACCCACCACCACCACCACCCCCCCCTCCCCCTTGTGAAATGAGTCGCGTGCCTGACTTATACATTGGATTATTGTGATTGAAAAAAAAAAAATTATTATTATTATTATTATTATCAATATCGTAAAGGCCTGGTTGAAACGGCCGAGTCGCAATAACACAATGTGTACTTTAGAGGACGCTATCCGGATAATTGAATGTTTTCAGCGTCGTAGACGAGATTTTCCAATTGGAGGGGGGGGGGAGGTTATACCCTTCTTCGCCTTACCTTTAGCTGAAAAAAAAAAGGTATGACCGAGGGCCACAACACCCAAAACCCCCCCCGAAACGAATGTCCGCTGTTAACACTATCGTATTAATGTTAATTCGATCGCGTTTTCGCGCTCCCGCGAGATCGTCCATGATATTATAATGCAAGCGGTGTTTTTTCGTTTTTGGTTTTTTTTCCCGGGCTCGACAATAATTACCAACCGAAACGATAATAATTACCGCGGTACCGGTTCGTGTACCGGACGAGTTTTCGCGCGTACTATCGCGATCCGTTCACGCGGCGCGTTATCAATCCGTTATGCGGTGAGCCGACGGTAATAATTATCGAAATCGGCGGCGTACCTACCTACCTGTACATAATAATAATAATAATACCTACGTGCATAATACGACGGCGTTCCAAACACCTAACATTCTTCTCTTGTACACGCTGGCCGTACATAATACAGTCTCGATAACAAGATTCGGATTATAATATGTATATGTGCGCGCCGCGATGATAGGACGTTTATAAAGGTGTTGCAGCCATTGTTGTGGTTTTTTTTTTTTTTTTCACGTCTAGTTACGATGACGAGTGGTGATGATGAGAACTACTAATTAGTATTATACGAATGCGCGCGAGCGTGCGTGCATGCGTGTGTGTGTGTGTGTGTGTGTGTATGTGAAAAAAAAAATATAAAAAGAAAAAAAAGCAAGGTCGGATAGTAATTAATATAAAATATCGCAACGCGTTTGCGGCAATTCGCGCGCATATGCTCCGCGGGGTTACGGTGTTTTGCGATTTGTACCAGCGGTTTAGTCTTTAAAAGATATTATTTCGAGATGTTTATAGCGGTAACATAGGATTTATGCGTACAAAATGATTGAGAGATTGGACGTTTTGATCTTTTGACGACGAGTGGGGGCGGATAAACGACGAGATGTAGTTGTTGCCGGTCGAGTCGGGTGTATAGAGTTGGGCCGAAGAAAACGCGAAAGCGTGTGAAGTGGATACAGAAAAATGGTGATGAATATACCAGGGGGACGTGGAAAGACGTGTGGAGGCTTACCGCGATCATAGCACGAATAGGAAAATCGGGTATACACACCGCCGGTAATTCGAACCTTTGACAATTCGAAACGCTCGGCAATTCGTCGTTATCTTCAGTGGCGTATTTAGGGAGGGGGGGAGGTTACGGGTTTCCGACCCCTCACTTCTATTGTGTTATTGGACTGGGAACGATTTATGTGGACTTAGACGTCTAAATGAAACCCAACCCGAAAAATCCAAGTCGTAAATATTCCACTGGTTCTCCCTCTCCGGCAACTTGTTGAACTATCCTGATTATAATACATCGTCTGGAGTATCGAATTCGTTTGCGGATCGCGGTGGCGATAAAGAAAATAGTTCAATCAAAATTATTATTATTATTATTATTATTATATACTAGAGGTACCTATCTATTTCTACAATTCGTCCGCGATCGTGTGTCTGAAATGGTATACATAATGCAATATAAATGGGATTAAGAATTCTCAGTGCACATCGTCATGAGCGTGCTGCGAACAGCGGTACATAGCGGAGAGGGGCGGTGGCGACGGACGGAGGCTCGCATGTACACCGTGAGACGGTAACGGCGGTGAGGGCGGGGAGGGTGTAGGGGAAATCGGCGGATTTCATTTATTATTATTATTATTATTATTATTATTGGTAACCTCGTCACAGTCTAATCCGACGATGATTATGAAACCGGAGGTGCTAGTTAGCGGCGCGCTTTGTATCGCTCTCGACTGCTGCCGCCGCCGCCGCCGCCGGCTAATATTGCCTTGTCACGTTTAATTCAATCTCTTATTAAAAACATGATACCGTCACCCCGGCCGGCGGCGTCGTCTCTCCCCAAGTTACCCCTCCCCTCTACTCCCCTCCCATCATCGCGGTCCACGGGTTTTGCCTGCGTTCGGAAATGACATATTGTATTATGTACACCACTCGAGGTTTTCCTCTCTCCCGTCGTCGTCGTCGCGGGGAACGATGAGGAGGTGCATCGCCCACATCATATTATACGGTCGTCGTGTCCGACGATCGACTGCGGACTTCTCACGCCCGCCCGTTCGTCAGACGAACTTTCACGAAACACGGCGTACCCGACACTTTATCCGAAACGCCTACACGTTACCGGCGGTATTTCTGAGAAAAAAAAAACAAAACCGACCCTAACTTATACACATTTATACACATCGGGCGTCGGCACTCTTGAATTTCGTACATTATTCGCTGGTTTTTTTTGAATTTTCTCTCGGTCGTCACGAGGGTTCGATGGGTGGGAGGGGGGGGGACTAATTGGTCGAACCACAGTCTTTCGGTACTTACAAGACGTACCGTTCTAAATTTTCGACATCAAAATGATCGAACGTCCGTAACCTGACCTAACCCAACCGCGGACGAGGCGGAGAATTTAATGATAATTGTGTGCGGACCGGGCGTAATTATTACAAACACTCGGCGGCGCGCTCGGGTATCCGTACCGATAACTATAATACGATATAACGATGGAAATTTTCGATTAGAGGACTCGCGAGCCCGTTTACGATCCGTCGTACACCCAGAGACCGTATTCATATATATATACACACACACACGCGCGTGTTCCGACGAACAAAAGAGAACTATAAAATACTATTACATAGGTAGGTATTAGGCGGGCAGGTATATACGTACGAAACGAGATCGATCGGAGAGACCATCTCTCCATGAACCATTAGAGCAACGCGTCCGCATCATATATATACACGCTTTTTTTTTTTTTTTTCATTTCCAACGCACGATAGCAGTGGTGGGTGCATCGTGTGTGTGTACACGCGTATTCTCTTTGGACGGCCGTAAGACTATACGAAGCTAATTAATACGGCTGAGTCATTAATTGGTTCAGCGGGGATCCTTTGTTGTTCAGCCGCCGCCGCCGCCGCCCGACCTAAAGAGACGGGCAGGTCGGTTTTTAATACCTACGCTCCGGATCTCGCACTAGCGCGCGCATGCCTCTAAACCTCGTACCCCCACCCCGACGAGCGGATAAACTTTTCACGGCGGTCTTGTACCAGTGCCGCCGCCGCCGCCGCGATAACACCGACCGTGCATCTGCAGACACTGCACTGCCGTCGTTACACGTCACGGGGTCGCGAACGCGCGAAAAACTATCGCGTTTCGAGAAAGATAAAAAACGAGTAACACGATTGTTTCGGCGAGGGGTGGGGGGGGGGAGGCGATGGAGGTTCACGCCCGACAATAGCGCGTAATTTTATCGGGGGGGTAAAACAAACGCGTTAGTTTAAACTGTTGGAAATAATTACGTTCGGATGCGGCGAATTTTTTTTTCCGTTTTCGATGTCTGTACCTGTTGCCACTGTGCTAGCCCGTGGCTGCGATTCCCTTGTCATTTTTCTGACAACATGATAGGTGACATTCGATCTGTACTTTGGTTTGATGACTGTTATCAAATTAACGGTACACTGCGACAATAATTATGGTCCACGTTGTATCTGCGGATACTGCACGCTGGTTTTGGTGTGCAGCTCGAGTAAATGCATTTTCACCGTGTACATATGGGAAAAGCGGTAAAGTCAAAATTGGCCATTTTTTTTTCGATTCGCATCAATATACCGTTACACGGGTAATGTTTCGATACTGTTATCGTATACCGTGTATAAATAAATAGGGCGGAGCGGAGCAAGTGTGGCCCGTAATTATTTTGAAACGTAACTTTTGTTGGTTTTTCGGATCAATATTTCTGTTGTATTTTAACGGCGGCGGGCGATCCAAGACTACTATTCAAATAAGTGTGGTGAGCGTAACTTTTGATTTATTCGTTTTTTACGTATATATATATATATACACACGTATGGACGGGGCGACACATTATAATCTATATATACACGTATAAAATATGTATCGCGTCGCCGTTTCGTTGCGGTACTCAAAATGGCGAAATAAGTCTGAAATCGACGGGGAAAAAATGAAAAAAAAAAACGCCAATAATAATCGTAATTATTATTATGCGCGTCGGCCTATCGATATTTAGCGAGGTCTCGCGTGTGCGCATAACGGAGACTTCGTGTATATTAATATTATAACATAGCCACCTATCTCGCGATATGGTTAGTCGATTTTCGAGTGCGCTTTGTTCGGCGTGTAGAACGTAATGATATTGTGTGCGTATAAATAATATATGTATGTATAGGTACGATAATCATAATAATAATATTAGGTATATAAGTTTTGCACCGTTAAACTAAAAATTTTACGGTGTCGCCGGCCCGCGTACACGTGTAAAAGGGCACCGCTGCGGGTCACATTTGCCTGTCTGTCACGCCGCTGCCGCCGTCGGGCCCGAAGGTCCATTATGGATCACGTTTTCGGCCGAAAAAATATAAAAAAAAAAAAAAAACTAATAATAATATAAATAATGTAAAATATTCAATCTCAACGTGCGCACACACAAACACACCGTGGATAATAGTAATAATAATGGTAAAATTGAAAAAAAAAAAAAATGAAATAAAGAAAAACCGCGCACGCGCGCAGGCGACGAAAAAATAATTAGTTTTTCTCTATAGTCGTTCGAATATTCGTGCGCGTATAACGCAAGTGTAATATTGTTATATAGGATTGTGAATTTTAATGCTGTAAAAACGCCATAAAAAAAATAAAAAAAAAAAAAATGTATATATACTTGTACAATATATTTGCAAAATATAATAAACTATATTGTTGCTGGGTATATCAATGGAGTTTACGAACATGAATAAATGCGACGTTACAAAATAATACATCGCAGTTATAAAATCGAAATACTGGAACACCGAACAGCTGAATTGCCAGAATTAATATCGGGGAGGGGAGGGCAGCACGAAATAAAACCGTCTAACAACGGCGATTGAAAAACCGAGGATAAAATGTCGAAATGTCTAAAAGTTTCAAATCCGTTATATACGTCACAATATGATTCGAATTTAGTACTAAAAGTCGTGTGCGTGACAACTGCACTGTAGACTATAGGGATTTTTGTCTAGTAAATCATCGTTCTGTTTTTTTTTTTTTTTTTTAATTTCCACCTAAATTCATCGAACATTTCACCTCGCGTCGAATCACTGTTGGAGCTATTTACTACTTTCGTCCCCTTAACCCCACCCACCCCCACCGGTTATGAATACAAACTTACGGACCCACAATTCGTATGACACGGTTCTGCGGCGTATTTGCCATCTGGCCGTCAGTTTCTGTCGCCGAGTCGACTAGGCGATTCGCGCGTACAAAACCCGGATTATTAAAATATTGTTTTCGTTTTATCGTTTCGGTCACGGGCAGTATAAACCGTATACATATTACATACCCGTAAATTATAATGCGTGCAACGAGAGAGCGCTGTGTACGCAATTTCCGGCCTCATTAATATCGTAACGTATTTGACGTCGACGGCGGCGATCGTAAAATAATAATAATAAAAAGAATAAAAAACAAAATTTTACGTACTATGTGCGCGCGCGCGTGTATGACCCTCGCAGAGTACAATAAAACTAAAAACGAGAAAAAAAACCGAGTCGCCGAAAAAAAAAAAAAAAATGCCTTCGTCCGAATATTGGTTTACGTATTATTATTACCTATGGATACCTAAATAATATTGACATCCGAATCGGCCGTATGCGCGCGGGAAAATCGAACGTAGAAAATCGATTCGGCCAAAACAAAACTTCACCGCGACACTATGTATGACTGTATGTTACCTATGTTACCAGCTATCGTTAAAGCAGTCTGCGACATTCGGTCGGTAAAACGATAGGAAACAAAAATTATAACGAATCCACTCTATGCCGGCCCGCGGTCGAGTTCTTTCCGCGTTTAGACTCGACGACTTTAAAGTGGTAAAATTGATTAGGATCCCCCACCAATGGCAATTGTATTTTCGAATTAACGCGGTCCGGGGAAGGGGGTGGCGTAGTCGACGGTTATAACGTTCTTGTCGCCCGCCCTTGCGGTTTTTTTCTTTTTTCATCCCGCCCCCTCCGAGAGGCTAGTGCTAGGCACAAATTTGTTATGAAAGTGCCAAAATAAAATACAACACCGAAAAATTAAACTGCTTTCGGATTTCGTATTTGTTGAAATCTGAAAGCATTTCATAGTTTAAGTAAAGTGTTTTTTTTTTTTTTGAATTTTTATCCAGACATTTAACATTCAGGTTAAACACAGATTTTTATTGTAATAATATTTGATATTTATGAGATTTTCATGGGGCTCAAACAAATGCTATTTAAGAATAGCATTTGTTTTTTTTTTTTTTTTTATTTGGGAAAATCCGGATTTTCAGACACCCATCACTAATAGCTGGTGATGTGCCGCAGCCAGTATGCGCGGCTCTCGTCGTCGCGGTCACGGAACGCGGACGACCGTCACCACACACCGTTCACGCGTCACCGCCGTGAACTCGGCGCAATTTTGGGAACCCGCGCGCCGGAATGTCGGGGCCCCGGTCGGCTCGGCGGTAATAAGAAGCGATACGATCAGAGGAGCCGCCTCTGCTATTTAGTCACACCTGCCATGCGCGGGACCTTTGATGTGGCCGCCGACACAGACGGCGCGCCCCGCGGCTATTACCCACCGCCGAGGCACCGCGTAACTTACCGTAGCGCCGTAACACCGCCGCCGCCGCCGCTCACGGAACCCCCTCTCCTCCCGAACGACCCCCACCGCCGCTCGTCCTCCCCGACGCGGACGTGCGACACCGCCGCCGCCGACCGTATTACCGGACTGCGGTACTTACGCGCCCCCCACCACTACCGCTCGCCGCGTTATTACAATATTATAATATTTTTATTTTTTTTTTTTTTACGCATACCGCGAGCGCGCGGTATATCAAAATAGCTGCAGTCTACAGTACGCTCTACAGAATATTATTATTATGATTGTTTTACCGCACACGACTTCTTCGACCGTCGATAATAATATAATAATATTTTGAAATCGAAAGGACCCGCAGCGTGTGACGTTTAACACGTCGGAACGCCGCGAGGTTCGAGGAAGATAAAGGAAATTCGTGTTGCGCGTCCGAGAAGAAAACCGCTTGGTATACAGCGTAGTCTTGTTCGTCGCCGCAGAAGGGTTTTTTACGCGTCGACTTCTCCGCGTACGAGTCGTCAAAATGCCGTAATACAGTCCGCGTGAAATCGTAACGGCCCCAGGGGATCGACCCGTTCCGGGGACAACGATAACGCACGCGAAAACTGAAACAATAATAACAATATAATCGTTGTATAACAACAGGACACTGGTCTGTGTTTGCGGATTGAAAAAAAAAAAAAAAAAAAAAAAAAATGTAAAAATTAAACCCCGATAAAAATCCGGAATTCCGCGGTATGTACATCGTAGTGTTATATAAATAGCGGAGGCCTCGGTCCCGCGGTCATTAGTCGTCGGACGACTTTGAGACTTTTGAAAGGGACTCCGTTGTTCGCCGTTTTCCGAAAAAATCCGTAGCTCGCGTATATTTATACGTGTACGTAATTATTATTATTATTATTATAATCTGTGGCGGCCGAGTCGTGCATTAATTATTCGCCGTTGGCCTGCTGTTGCTGCAGAACGAGAGATGCCGAGATGACGGAGATTCGAAAAATACACGTACCTACGCTGTAACAAAAATAAAACGATTGTTCGCGCCGATACGTTTTTTTTTTTTTTTCGTTTTGCGTTCTAAACGTCTGTCTCGCGCGATATTATGTTAGTATTACGTGCCGGAAAAACGCGACGAGGATCCGCCGCGAGCGACTTTTTCTCGGATATATTCTCACGGGGGTGGGAGGGGGGGGACGGACGGGCACGGGACACCGTGCCGTCGTTGTGAACCAAATTATCGGACCGTGACGTCACCGCGGTCCGTGTTACCGGAGGGTAGTACGAGGGTATTATCGTACGGGTATATGTTTTTTTAGTGTATTATATTATACTTGTATGTAGCGGTCGGCTTCGGTAGAAAAACACAACAACAACAACAACAACAACAAAAGAAACCGTATACAACAATAATGCCGCGGTCTCTTGCCACCCACCGACTGTAATATTTTGTGCGGGATTACCGAAACGTTAGAAAAATATCGTTTAAAACGGACTAAACAAAAAATAAAAAAATAAACCGTACATTTTTCCGGACAACATTATCGTACAATAATTGTACGCTAATAGCGTCCAAAACGTTTTCTCGTCTGTATGAAATATCGAACGCGGTTACGATTACTGGGCCTCGTACGCCGTACCGTTTGTACGCGCACCGAAAGTCAAACGGTGCCGGACGATTCGCCTGTCGGGTGTATTGCGTGGGGTCCGGTTTACGCGTGGCCGCCCGGGACGTCCGTGCGTCCGCTGTACGTAAGACGCGTGTTTCGGGCGACGTCGTCGATCACTGCAATGCGGTTCGACGACAGCGGACGACAGTTGTTACGGAAAATGCGTTTGCCGTCTTCGGGGCACCGGACGAACGGTCGTACAGCGTACGAGAGCGATTTCGCGACGTCGCGACCGACCGCAAGAGGCAGGCGACAGAGAAACGCGCGGTGAACCGCCGGCTCGCCGATAAACTGCGTCCCCAAAACGCGCCCGTATACTAATATACGAGTTAATACTTAAATCGCCTCTACAGTGTGTCCGACACGCGAACTTGGAAAATCGAATGTCAAATCCTATATTAAATTTTCACGGGCGCGACTGGACCGCCGGTTTTGGGAATGTTAAAATTACAGGCACACGCCACTTACCCGTGCCCCCACGGGTTCTGTGGCAATGCAGTGCCTCGACAATTTCTTTTGCACGAGGCCTGACGTGTAAGCGACTGCGCATTTCGTTTACGGTTTGTATTGCGAAAACGTATCGTAACTTTTTAACTTGGTTTTTTTGTACATGCGTGCGTTGTCCGTAGATAATCTATATTTTATTCTCGTTATCAATTATTATGGAATACACGGATAAAATATTTAGTCGATACCGTATAAAACACCTATTGGGCATTTTGTTTAGGGTGCCAAAGATCGTCTTTTACCCCTTCCGGTCGCGCCTACAGTCATTTTATTACGCGGACGACGACCGGTGTGGTATACGACATGGAAAAACGTCCACGTTCCTTGTGTTCGGTTCCGAACCCGCGCGAGCGCATTTCCCCCCCGGAACGTATAAACGACACATACGTCGTCGTCTTCGGCCTTCGTATAATATAATATTATTACGTTTGAAAATCGTTGACTATTAAATCCGAGGAGACGTACTATATACGGCGCGTTTCACCGCGTAATACAATAATACTAAACTTGTCGTTTGCTCGTTAGTTAAATTATGAACTCCTATGTGTATATGTATACTGTTACCTATATAATACGTGTTATATAGGTAGGTATATAAGTGTACAATAATATAAATTCACAGATTACAACAAATTAGTCGGTGGAATTCGGTCGTCGACGGCTTCTTCTTTTTTTCCGTCTCTCTCTCTCTCTCTCTCTCTCTCCCTCTCACTCTCACTGTATACGTCTGAAACGTATAGGTACGATCAGCCGTGTGTCGGTCACCGGTTTTTTTTTTTTTTTTTAAATTTGTATTTCTTTAACACTTGTTCTGTTGCGCGCGAGAGTATTTTACGACGTTTTACTCCTAATACGTGTGTATATAAGTATAAAAAAACGAGCGCGGGTGTCTGTCCGTTCTCGTCTCGTGAAACTTTTCGCAATTACTGTTATTTTGTACGGGTATACGTCACGTTTCTATTCTGTGTTTTCGACCAACGATTTTATGTTTGCGAAATAAAAACCCACATAATAAACATCCATTTTTCGGGAAACACGCGTATGATTTACAATATTCGAAAACGATTTGCTGACTACAATTGTATTTTAAAGTGCAATAAGCGACTACCGAAAGGGGACCGACGTGGGAACCCTCATCGTGGCCTCAGAAATGGAGGATGGCTAAACAGTATAATCTGGGTGGAGCCGAATACTGCACCCTCCTGGATAGTCGTATCGTGCTTGTTATTTATATACTATATACCCTTGCACCGGTGAAAAAGCCCCGCGGGATAAAAAAAAAACGACCGTAGAAGGGCGTGTTATTATAGGGGATTTCGAACCACTCCCGTAATACATATTTATTTAAAAATAAAGATGAAAAACCGTTGATTTTAAATCGTTCGTAATGCATAATATAGTAGTATGAAAAAGTCAGACTCGAAATCAATAGGAAAAACGGTCTGAGTCACGAAGTCAACTGCGATTTAACACGGTTACTCCTATTATGTGCTCCTAACTGATATAGAAATAAACTAAACAAAAAAAGGAAAAAAGGCTTTGATGAATTATTTTTTTTTTTTTTTAGAGAAGCCGTTGGCAATCTATAGAATTATATTTTAGTTTAAGTACCGCCGTTGGAAGGAAATTACGTGTTTTTTTAAGTTAGTACGGTTATTATGTGAAAGTTTCAGAGGATTATCATTACTAACCCAAAAACATGGTGTTTATACACGCCCATTGGTGTTAAATAGCTCAGAAACACGGCCTATCAGTAGGTGTAACGAAAGAATAATGACGGACGTTTTTTCGAAAGAAAAATCCCGAGGAGAATTTGTGGACCACACAAGTAAGCTCGAATTGGGAAATAGAGGATAAGATAACGTCTGGATCTATTAAAACGCTCCCTGGCATCACAAAAGAAAAATTAGTGAGAAAAGTAAAACGAGGGGGACATGCGTGAAAACAATCCCGCAAGAAAACCAAACTAATAGACCTCGTTAGCATTATGATGGCGAATCGGAGAGAGGCAGTAGAGGACAGAAATAGACAGATGCGTATTTGATCGGAGGACTGGACTTAGAGGTCGTTACCCATACTGAAAAAAAAAAGCGTGGCGGAAAATCCAAAAAAACTAAAAGGAAACCTGATCCCGGAGTAAATCTGGTAATTCGGTTTCAATATTTGGAACGGTCTCCTGTCGTACGCGTTATAGATTTATGTAACGCCCTGCGCAGGCGATCGCAATGTCTTTTAACGTTTGGCAAGTCTTCAGGTCCTTTTATTTCGTCGCGGGCACGCGGAGACCTCACGAACAGATGTGCGAAACGTGTACGGCCGGTGAAACGATAAAAATTAGAAACGACTCGTTCGTCCGAATACCGCGGACGACGGCGATAATAATAATAATAATATTAGTCTCGGCGATTACGGCGCGGGATAAACGGCATTTTATTTTCCCGACAGTTATTATTATACCGAGCTCGAGCTTTCGGAAAAGAACGTCGTCGTTTTTTTTCTTACGAGTTTTTTTCGTCCGCTCGCGGAGATTATTCGCGTGACGGCCAACGACGGTTTGCCGGAGTTTTTTTTTTCTGAATTTGTTTTTGATTTACGCGCGATCGTAAACAACGCAACAATAATATCGACAATATTAATAAAACAACGATAAATTATGGTCGGCTCGTGGTAATAGTCGCGTATTACGATAATATTATACGGCGCGCGCATTGACAATTGCATATAAATATTCAATATAATTATCATTTTCAAACGTTCCGATTCCGGCCGCAATCTGCGAGTGATTTTATTTTTCGCCCGAGAACGCGGTATTTATTTATAATGCCGGTCGGCCTTTAATATTGTTACAGTACAATGACTTTAATAAAGTCTATCCGATATGGTTCGTCCTTATATCGCTTATTAGTTTGATTCTGAGACAATTTTAAAAACATTCCTGGTTCTCTGTGTATTTAAGATTTTTTAACGATTTTTTGTCAGCGTTCACATAGAAATCGCGTGTCAATAACGCAAATTACTTTTGATTTCTGGTGATTATATAATTGAAACAACAAAACATTACAAATCCGCGGTTATAACTTTTTTTTTTTTGTCAAAAATGACGTTAGGACCCTATTTGTATGGATCGTAGGGTTCTATACCGATTTCACAAATGTCTGCGAATTTCGACGACAAATACGAATATGTTCGGATAGTTTATTTATAAATTTATAATTCGATTCGCGACGGACGTCTACTCGGGACCTTTACCTTTTTAAATACTGTTAACGACGAACACTATTGAAGCCATTTACAATCAACATTAGTCTTAACGAAGGGTTCGGTCGGGTTTAATTATCGACATATTATAGAATAGTTATTACATTATTGTGTGTTACGGCAAAACACCGATTCGAATAGAGAATAATATATCATTCAAAATGACTTTATCAAACGCAATACGAAACAACCAAATATTCGTTTTTCAATATGATATAATCATACTCATAGTCATATAATCCTAATTATATATAGGTTATGACTTAACTTATAACGCACTGAGTCTCAGTCCATTATTCAGACATCGGGTTACCCGAAACGGGTATCTGGGATGAACAAAGAAACGTTTTTCATGTCTCTTTTTTTCCACGAAGAGCATTTGACAACGTGTAATATAATCGTCTTTATGGTATTATTTATGACAAATGAATTGCATTGCTTCAAATCGAAAAAAAAAAGAAGAAATATTTTTATTATATTTTTTCTGAACGTCTCTTTTTGCCCAATATGTCTACCGAATTTTCGCTCAATTCCAATGTATACACTATAATAGGTATAATAGGTTTTATGCTCGATCTATATCGTCATGTTAAGTATAAACAAATATACACGAAATGAACGATCGTGTGCGATTGGCACGTCTGACAGTTGAAAACGGCGAATTTAACGCGTTAGAAAAACCTCTAATAAAATCCTCAATAGCGCAGCTCAAAATACAAGTAAAACTCCTTCCCCCCCCCCACCATCTCAAAAAACAGTTTCGAAACGTGAAAAACTTAACGTGTCTCGTTGTCTTCTTGTTAATAGGTCTAAACATAGAAAAAAAACCTATTCGAAGTAGCGGTTAGTTTCTATAGTTTCTGTTGTATAAGAACGAGGCGATTTTTTTTTTTTAATAACTCCCCGACGGGATATTCATCACGAGTACCGTTTGGTTGGGTTGAAAAAGACAATGACGACGACGAAAGCCGGATTTATCAATGTATTTTAATATGTAGTGTATACACCGAGAGTGGGTGGGTTGAATCGGAAAAATCGGTTTCGCTCCTCCCATTTCGCACAACTTCCGTCTTAATAAACTCAATGTAATATTATACCGCTCGAGAGCGGTTCATCGGTCAAAAATCGTAAAATATATAAAATCTATTTATTTATGTATAAATATTTATTTTTTTTCTTGTAAACCATTTTCGGTTACGTGTAATATATTCCATCGGAAACACCGACCGACAGACAGACGGACATTGTCGGATGCGATTTTCACCAATGTGTTTCTACGCTCAAACGATTTTATAAGAATACGTGTATTATATATGTATACATAGGTTTACGAGAGTACCGAACTGAAATCATAAAAGAAAACCGAAACATATTTCGACGTATACTGTATATACTGAGAGGCGTGATATCTCGTCGAGTTTAATTGCCCGGAAACCATTCCCGTCCGTGTTCCACGACGTTATGTTTTCCCTGACGAAATATCTTATTAATGAAAAAAAAAAAAAAAAAACAATCCAGACAAAGGATTTATTCTGTACGTTCGATCGAATACAATAAGTCGGAAAACTGTATTTTCGACGAGACCGGCAAACCGTTTCCTCCGACCGCACCCCGCGTAGTTTGTATCGAATTGTAAAATATACGCGTGTACCAAAACAGCCGTTGTTAATAAGGTCGGTAATATAGTCGGCGGCATTTTCGTATTATTATTTTTTTTTTTAAACAAAAAATATTCCGATATCGCGTTGGCCGGGTAATATTTCGTCGGGAACGCGTTCAAAACGACTACTAGCGCCTATTTAACCGACGACGATCGGAAACGAAAATATGACGCGGTGATCACTATATTATTACAATATCCGTATTACGGTCTCGACTGTTAAAGGTCGTCGAAAGGCGTGTTTTTGGTGGGGGTTTTTTTTGGGGGGGGAAGGGTTTGAGTGTGTCCATTTACCTGAGTTATTACTAGTCGTCTAATATTATACTGAATTTATTGTATCGTGTCGTTGATCGTTTTTGTTTTTTTTTTTTTTTTCCAGACACCAGTTCCTCCAGCCACTTGAACCTGTTCAACTCCCGGGCGCAGCCCAAAAAGAAACGCAAGTCGCGCACCGCGTTCACCAACCACCAGATCTTCGAGCTGGAGAAACGGTTCCTGTACCAGAAGTACCTGTCGCCCGCGGACCGGGACGAGATAGCGTCCAGCCTGGGCCTGACCAACGCGCAAGTGATCACGTGGTTCCAGAACAGGCGGGCCAAGATGAAGCGGGACTACGAGGAGCAGAAAAAGGACCGGGAAACGTTGGCGGCGCTCAGCGAGCACAAGATATTCCTGGAGACGGCGCAAAACATGGGCATACTCAAGAAGAAACCCCAACCGGCCGCGTCGGCGGCGGCCTCTTGCGGCGGTTCGCCGTCCGACCCGGTCAAGTACGACGAATAGACGGCATGCCGGTATCAAACGGACACACCCTGTACATAATATCCGGTTGTCGTGTCCCCGGTAGTCTGCGCGATGCGTGTACATTTGTAGAGGTTTCAATAGTAATAACACACGCAGAAAAAAAGAAAAAAACGAAAAAAAAAAAATTATACAAACTAGTGTTCCTTATCGGCTTTGCGCTTATCGAAAACGAAACAAATCCAATACCGCGAGAGCACCCTACGCCCGCGTTTCCTATCGCATCTCGTCGTGTACAATACCTATTTATAATATTATATTATAGACTCTTACTGCAGCCCGTCGAGAAATCCGTTTCGTTCGCGATCTCGTCGTCGTTTCATTACCGTATAGGATATTATGTGTTGTTCTACCCCTCCTCCTCCACCTCCCCCCCCCCTCGTAAATGGATTTTTTTTTGATTTTTCCCTCGACTCCTTACATTCATAGAGAAAAAAAAAAAATCAACGAAAAATCACCGAACAAAACCGCTTCGCGTGTGTTATATACTCGTCCTAGTCTATTTTCCCTCGTCCATAATTATTATACAATGTGTGTGCGTTGTACAAATAAAAATATCGCGACGAATAATATTTATATTATTTTTTTTTTTTTTTTATTATCGATTATTGATAACGCGAAAACTAACGATTCGTTTGTTTTCGAGTATATCACATTATAAAAATAGTCCAATTTTTAAGGCCGTTGTTTGTGTATAGTGTATTCGAAATCAGTACTATGGTGTAGTATAATATTTTGTGTTTGTCGTAATTTGCACACGCTGCATATTCTCATATTGCTGTGTAAGCACGTAGCATTATAGACCCCGTTTACCTGCAGTGGCGGCCAATTGGTCTCGATTCCCAACAACCCGCCGAGTTCGTTTGGCTTCCCCGACTTTGATCTGATCAACGAAATTGACGAGTTACCAAAATATTATTGCGTCCAACGGCGCGCGAAAAGACGGAAGTTTCAAATGCGGCGGCGCGAGCGTTTACATTCGCACGGGCCAATTTGCGCCGCTGCGGTCTTCACGCGCGAAACGGCTTTTGTGTGTGCCCGGAACACAAAACAACAGCCGTTTTCGGACGATTCGTGTTTTTTAGCTGCGATTTCGGCGCTGAAAAAACCGTCGCACTCGCGGTGTAGGTAGTGTAATGAATTATTTTTTAGACCGTTACTATACCCCATCGAATAGACAATACGAGTGCGTGTAAAACTCATCTTTTACGGGGGAGGAGGGGGTAAATGTATGCGTGTATATAATAGGTACGTAATGTTTGTATTGTTAAAAATATTATACTAATATGTAATAATTATTTTCTAATTATTATTATCGATTACTATACCTAATAATGTAATAATAATATGTAAATTATTATGTAACAATTTATTTACCTATATATACGCTTGTTAAATTTGTTCGTTCGTTATTATTACTTTTTCTTTTTTTTTTTTTTTGTACAAATTATTATTATCATTATTATTATTATGTATAATATCAATGTAACTGTGTAAGAAAATCGTTTCATCCAAATTAATTTCTATACATTATTGTCTACGCAATATCATTATGACTGTATATAATATATTATGATTACAATAAAATAGTTATTTATTTTAATTTATTTATGTGCTCGCCGCATATACGCGTACAAACCTATATAGTATATTATCATTGCATTATACGCGTATTATTATTATTATTATTATTATTATTATTATCATTATTATTATTATTATTATTATTATATACGAATAGAAAATAGAAAAATATCATACGCAATGGAATACCGTTCGTTTTTTTTTTTTATTTTATTTTTTTTTTCCGGCGCTGTTCCCGTGTTAAAATCCCCGTACAGCGGACATACCCTTTTCTTCGCCTTAAAAAAAAAAAAAAAAAAAACCAAAAAAAAAAAAAAAACAATAGAGAATTTTCAATAAAATTATCACACGGACCCAGCAGTGAGTCTTCTGCAATATTTACGCGGAGATTTCGAGTAAGTTTTATTGAGGTCTCGTTTCACGCGCGCCGTGTAGAGGATGTCCCACGGAGATCTGTCAAATGCAATAATTCTCGTTCTGTTCAATATGCATCGTTTAAATTTTATGATATTTTATATAGGCATTTTTGTTAAACAAAAAAATTGTTTGCACCAAATCTATGACGGCCGTTTTATAAATTTGTTTTTAAACAAAACATTACAAATGTTTGCTAACGAATTATCGTTAATTTACCGTACCTATACTTTTTGAAATTTATGATAATTTAAATTGTTTTCTTTACCATTACTAAATAATATCAATCTAAACCGCTCATTTTTTCTTTAGCAATAATTTTGCAAATTATTTTTGTAAACTTAAAAAAATTCATAGAAAATTAAAGACTCGTCATTACAGTGTCGTCAAAATACCTCTTCACAACTCAAAACTCATACCTAAATATTTTATTAAACTATAACTCACAGAAAAATTCCGACATTACGCTAATGAAAATTTTTTTTTCATCGTTTTTAGAGCAATACTTATATGGTAAACCTCTCATATCAAATTTTCCCTCCCGCTTAGCCACAGATATCTAATATATTTACGAGCGGTTCGATGGGTATTATATAACGGTTTAACTGTCTTAGGAACGGGTGCAACGACTGTTTTAGGTGAGAAGTTGGGAAGGTAGTAGAGGAAAAATTTTGTGTGTATCTATATAAGCAACGATAAACCATTGCTAACGAAAAAACGATTCTGAACGAAGTTCAGTTGCTGGTGTAGTTGCTTTGTCAGCAATATCTATATACATGCCATATCATGGTAAAATAATTACATAGGCATTATATAATTTCTTTAATATTATTTATTTAATATTGTACCTATATTTTCCCGCCTTTCCTAGGGTTTTCCATGTTTTTCCCTGTTTTCTTATTTATTGGGAAACCAAATGAGAAAATCGAAAATGACCTCTTTAAAGTACCTCCCCAGTCAGATTTCGTTTAAGAAAAAGTGCTACATTTAAAAATCGGAGCACGAATTCTGGTGGAAAAGTTGTCCACAGAAAAAAAAAATAAAATAAACATCTTTGTAAAGCCATAAGCTCCTTCGGTCCACTCAGAATCTAAAATTTAGATCAGATGAGCAGAGAAGAGGGTTACTCGAACGTGAATATAGTCGGCCTAATTCTCAATTGGTCGTAAGTCCAAAAGTGCGATTATGTGTTTACGATATTTCCAATTAAAATAAATGAAAAAAGTATCGTTTAAAAGAATACCGACTCATAAAATAATAATTTACTCTTCCACGAATGTGCTGATAAAATTACAACGAAATTGTCGCGTTGAAAAAAATGTTTTTCTCCATCGGATCTCCGTGTATTATTACAAAATAATTTTACTTTGGAGTTAATACTTTTACAACGAAATCGTTTAATGCTTCACCTGAACAGATGCCATTTTGGAATTAAAAAAAATGTAATTGTTGGGGGAAAAAAACTATTAGATCAAAAAACCAAAATTGCTGGTTCATGATGAAATAATCGCTCTGTAAGTTCATATTCATATTATTATTATATATATATATATATATATATGTTGTTAATAAATCCTTTTTAAGGTCAGATACAAAAAAAAAAAAAGGAAACATATTCGTCGGCCAATAAACACGACTGTCGCATAATCAGTCGACTGCAATGATAGCAATAACACGTATGTTTATCTCGTGAACTCATCATTTTTTTTTGTTCACAGTCGATGTTAATAATATTATGTGTGGTGTGCATTTTTTTTTTTCTACTGAATAAAAGATTTAGAAAGCTCGCACAGTCGTACACGCACACGACATAATTATATTATTCAATTAATATTATAAGTGATTTATTCAATAGACTCGCGGATATACTATTGTTTTTTTTTTTTCCGGGAATGACCTCCGGGGCGTAGAAAACGATTACAATATCGTATTATATTGTTGTCGACGTATTCGATGGATCTTCGGTCCATTAAACGGTCGTGTATTTTTCGTATTGTTTCGGGTCTCCGCGTGTCGTATTAAAACTACGAAAAACCGATCGTTTTGCAACCGCGCAGTGGTGTGTGTGGCGAATAGAGCCGTGTTAATCCGTTTGGTGCCCCGTATGATGTAAAAATATCACATTTTTTTTTCTTTTTTCTTTTATAAATCTCCAACAAAATCTTAAGTTTCTTTTTGTTACTCCAGAATTTTGATTCTTGCGACGCCCATGACAAAGCGAAAAATATCGTAACCCGTTTCAAAATTTAGGTCTAAATCAATTGAAATATCCACCGTCAACAGTCTTAACAGCTCTTAACATTTTGTCATCTATGTGTTTAAACTCTATAATTTCAACGTAAAAAATAACGCCTTACCTTCTTGCCCGTTACCGTATCACAGTAAATACGGCCGTTAATCGCGAAACGATTACTTTTGGAAATTTAAAACGCGCGTTCAGTTCTTTGTGCACTTCACATCATCTTTATACGTTGTTTACGATGAAAAACCGCTACATAATTTTGATTTTTAAACGACCGTCTGTATATAAACCTATTAAAATTCCTAAAATTTTGTTTTTATTCATAATTCCCATTGATTTGTCAATATGAAGATAGATCTGAGATAAAATATCTTCGGTCCCAGTCAAAAATCACTCGAGTCGATTTTTGTTGCCCATATAAATATTACTATTATTGTTTTTTTTTTTTATAATTTTGTGTTATTTGTTTTCCCGGTATTTTTTTTTTTTCATTTGAACGGCATTAGTGTAGATATTGAGTCGTTTTTAAGTTATTTATCGACATTTTTATTTTTCGAGTTCTTTACGTAATTTTCATTTGGGAGGTATTCTGTGAACAAAATTGTTAGACTAAACAGAAATGCTTGAAAATTCAACAGGAGTTTTATTGAAGTCGTACTTTGTGGTTTAAAAATAAAAACAAATAGTGTTATGTAGAATTTTTTATTTTTTTTTAAGTTTTAGAATTAAATTTTGACAAAAATCATTGATATTACAACCTTTCAAAACACGTATCACCGAACTTCGTTCGTTTTTCGAATCGTATCGTTTTTGTCAGCAATGATTAGTTGTTGTGCCACCCACATATATAAATTAAATTCTCTTCTTTATTCTACCTTCCCAACTTCTCACCTACAACAGCGGCCCGTGATGTGAAATATGTCCGTCTATTAAATTCCGATTGTATTACGATGGATCTATTAGTTTTGCTATGTAACTTTTTTTTTCTGTCTGTAAACAACTTTTCTACCAGAAAACACGCTCCTAAGTATAGACAATAGCATTTTTTTTTTTTTTTTGAAAGGTAATTTTCTCTTGTTGGTGCAATTGGAAAGTCATTTTTTTTTTCCACGGGGTTTTCGAAATAATTGAGAATGCCCCAAAGAAAATTATAGGCAAAACGGCGAATATTCACAGCGTGCGGCATCGTTATCGTTTTCATTGTTTCCATTGTGTTGTACTTAAGTTTTTTACCAGAAATAATTCTCCAATCGAAAAATGACAAGTGATCGATAGTGTTCCTTTTAACATATAGCCGGGGGGGAAGATGCTGTACCTTCCCGTGGTCCCCGCCGTAAGTACTGTTGTTTTTAGATCCTCTCGATATTTCTGCGTTTCGCCACATGAGATTATCTGATATGAAAACAACACGAAACCAAACAGCATCAAACCGGCGGCCGTAAGTTGTAAAACCTCCCGGCCTAGTTGGTGAAAACTGCCTTTTTCAGGGCAACCCCTCTGACAGACGTGCTCTGCCATATGAATTTAAAAAAAAAAAAAAAACATATAGCCACTGACTAAAAGAATCGTTTTTTGATATCTAAAATATTTTCCATAATAATCGGGAAAACCCAAAGAAGACAAAATATATGATATTTTTCAAATTACGGCACAACGATTTCATTATTTTAAATTTGTACGGCTTTGTTTTCCACCTTAAATATTGCTCTAATAGATAAACGAGACCTTTTTTGTTGAATTTTTAATCTAGTTGGTGACCAAAACAGTCGGTTTTTTTCGTTTTCGATTTCTTTTTAACTTCAATACTGATATGTCTAATATAATAACGGAAAAGAAACGAGTAAGATTAAAAATAATTCCGTTAAGCTTGAAATGATTAGATTTTTGAACACGGCAAGACGAAAAAGGTTAATTTTTTGAGTTTTCAAACACATAACACCAAAAACAGTATTAAATTTGTACGTATAAATAGGTACTACTTATTGGAACACCCTGTACGATATGAATATACATTTTATTATAGTCAAAAAATCAACTTTAACTTTATTCTTTAACTTCGAAATGGCTGAGTGATACAAAAAGAGTCTGAAGCCCGAGGTAAAATAATATAGGAGGTCCTGAGATGAGCATAGTACCTAACTATAAGTAGCATTTTCGGCTCCGACATTA